CAAATAATGTGGATGCAACCGTCAGAACTCTGCTTCAGAACTACTAAATTGGAATCGACAGGAAGTCATCTTTTTAAAATTCCCCTCAAAACATCTTCAGGCAGGAGGAAAAAGAAGTCCACATACTGTAACTCACTTGTACTTTTTCACATATATCTGGGATGTTCTGCAATTGAGATTGCCAAAAAATGATTTAAACAAACAGAAAACACCTGCCTGTATATGTTTGCACCAGGAAAACATTTTCAGCAGACTTACAGGGTAAATATTTCCTTTGACCAGGTAATTCTTCTCAGGTTTCAAGACTAAATAATCTCCTCTGAACGGGACGATCCGTGGCTCCCGACTGCATCCAGATATCTGTGACAAACGGTCCGAGTACAGGCCACCACAGGTCAGGACGTAACGGCACCGCAGCTCATTACCCTGTGAGAAAGTAATGATGCAAAAACTGTAAACGACAGAACACGATCTGACCGTGTGATACCTTTGTTTTAACATGTCTTACTTTGTTATCTCTGACTGCAAGTGGATATTTCATTCCTGCAAATGGAATTTAAATAGGGAGTTGTGTTAGCTATACAATTTTTATGACAAGTTATGACTGTGTCAACACTGATGTGCACAACCAGCTTGTTACCTTCTGTGCTTCCTGATGGGCTTTCCTTGATCATGGAAATGTCATTGACCTCATATTCAGTTACCACAGTGCCACCTGCCTCCTTGAAGTCAGTACCATAACTGAGAGCCACCATCCTCCAATCGACAATGCCAGTGTAGGGCGAGTCCAAGGCCATTATCCCCTGAAAAGACGAAATATCAAATATTACCCTGCATTAACACGTTTTTGTCCAAGTAAATGAGATGATGTTTGTTTTCTTTTCACCCTGCAGTAAGGCTCTCTGTCCCGGATGCCCTTGCCATCGACAATGGTGAGGTCACGCACATTGTTCTTCATGCCGCGCTCATATAAAGCCTTCAGTCTGGGAATCTCTTCCTGCTCCACAGCAACGATGAGCTGCATGGTTTAAGACAGAAACACATACTGTATACTTCACTATTACCAACTGAAAAGTTTCAGAGTACCAACAATCGCTAAAAAAAAACAAGCAGGCATCAAATCGTTGGTAACATACATGGTCCTCTTGTATTCTAAATAAATATAAGATTTTATTTTTTGCAATAAGAATTGGCGCTCAGTCCTTTTCTTTACTCTACGGGGCAATAAAAATTAACATCCAAGTCAAAGATCTTGGTTTGGATTTAATCTTTAGGGGGAGACATCAAAGCCGTCTCCAAAACACTCCAAATATTTGATCCTTGCATTGGATTTCATTCAGCTACAGAGCTGACTTTAAGACCCGTGTCTGGGAATAAATATACATTTCAAAGATTTAAAAGCTAGTTCAAACTTCCATCCATCTATTCATCCATCCTCCCATTCCACACTGCAAACTCCAGACAAAAAAAAACTCCAGAAAATCAATTTGAAGTAGGAACCTACCAGGACCTGCTGAGGTCACAGGTTAACCACTGCCACCTAGTTCAATTTTAGTTGCTTTTAGTCGTTATGCTGCCTCCTGCTGGATTAAGCTCATCATGAAATTAGTTCCAACTGTGGGTACTGACTTTTCCCCCACTGCTTTTAATCAATATGCAGTTTTATTTTTTCTATAAATTTCCTGGACCTTGTCACCCATTCTTGCTTTACATTTCACAGTGGCTCCATAGCGTGGTGCTTAATAAGCAAGAAAATATCTGTTTTCTATCACAGATATCTGTTCTCACTGAGAACATATAGAACCAAGAGTACAAAACAATTAGCCCCTGGTAAAAATGGGTAACATTAATTAAACTGTGTAAATATGGATGAAGCTGAAAGGGCAGTAGGCTACTGTTAAATACAGTTAAACTAGTAGTATATTTCCTTCCCAACACTGTTGATAAATGTCTGCTGTAATTTCAGTCACTCAAGGTGGTCACTGAACTCTAAATCTATCAGCTTAACATACAGAGACAAACCTTTCCGCATCTCTTGTAAGGAAGTCCTTTCTTCTCACAGTACTCATAGGCTAAAGTAGCTCCTCGCACACACAGGCGAGCCTTCAGTGATCCCGGTGTGTAGTAGATCCCACTGTGAATGACTCCACTGTTATGCCCACTCTGGTGTAAAGCTGGTAGGTATGGACAAATTGAAGAACATTAAGAGAGAAGGGAGTATTAAGTCCTACAGAGTGATGGGGGGAAAAAAACTGACTCAAATAATTTTTTTGTTTCGTTTATTTATCTGTTTAAATGTTGATCATTTTAATATGCAAAAGTTTTAATGAACTTTATTTAACTTTCTGTTTGGTAAATATTAGGGTACACCTAGGAGATTAGCATAGCATAAAAGAGTGGAAAACAGTAGTTAATAGTCAGGTGTGTTAATACAAAGCCACTATCTTCCCAGGAGTTGATGTCTCAACAAATTCTTTGGACTTTGGGCAAACAAGAACAAAGTGTGCATTATATTTGGCCACAGTGCACAGCGCCACATTTGGGGAAACTCAGCATAACAGCGCAAACAACTCGAGCACAGTGGTGGAGGGCTGATGGTCTGGGTTTGTTTTGCAGCCACAGGACCTGGGCACAGTCATTGAGACAACCATGAGCTCCTCTGTATACCAAAGTATTAGAGTCAAACATGAGGCCATCTATCTGATAGCAAATGAGTCATGTAGGATTAAAATGATCCAATGCACAGCATCAAATCTACAACAGAAAGGCTGAAAAAGAAAAGAATCAACATGCTGCAATGGCCCAGTCCAAGTCCAGACCTCAACCTCACTGAAATACTGTGGTGGGACCTTAAAGCGGGGATTCTGTTAGGGTCCACTTGGGTCCCAGAGTCATCAGACAGTTAGCTGAGGGTCTGCCCACCTGCCTTTTTACAATGCATCAAAATAAGAATGCGTCCAGACGGCAGACTTAAAAGAAGTATAACAGGAATGACAAATCAGCCGTGGGTTCTCCAACTGTTGACTTCTGTGTCCACAACAGTAGAATCAGGCTTAAGAGAATAGTGCACAAACAAATGCCTGCTAACATCAATGAACTGAAGCACTGTTTTAAATAAGAGTGCAAAGTTTTACCACAATGATGTGAGAGACTGAAGTCACACAGGAAATTATTAATTTAAGTCATCGCTACAAACCATTATATCATGCATCTGTATCTATATATATCTATATCATGCAAGTTTTTCACATGACTGCAAATGCAGTATAAATATCTTATATACTGATTCTTATAACTTCAGAAAACAGTGCCAGAGTATGTTTGCTGGTTTGTTACATTTTTACAAAGTTTTGGCTCTGTTCTCCAGGACATTTGAATACTAATGAAACAGTAACTAAAGGGAAAGGGCTGTCAAGTCAGAAATGTAGAGATTTGTGGAGAACACAAATCTCTACATTAACATGTTGTTACATGTCTTTACATCCACAACACTCCACTCACAAAGCTCCTTTTCTTTCTCCAGGAGGACGAAACTGAGCGACGGGTGTCTCAGAATCAGCTCTCTGGCTGTGGCCAAGCCCACAATGCCAGCTCCCACCACAGCTATGTCATATGTGCTGAAAAAACAAAAAGCAAACAGACAGGACAAAATTTAAGGTGGCTATTAATAATCGACTAGCTGTACAGATTGAAAAGGTAGAAAACAAAGCAGAATATTTAGGTCAAAGTCCAGCCATGGATGAGAAAGAGACCTTTGACGCAGATCAGTCTGGAGACCTATGACACAGATGTTTGAATTAAAGAGGTATTTGCAATTACAAATAGGATAGAAGAACCCTTCACCATATAGGCAAGCTAGAGCAAGCAAGGATCTGCAAGAACACAATGTTCACAAATATTTAAAATCTTGTAACCAAGTGAGTACACTTTGTGGCATTTTTGCAACAGCCAGACAAAATGTCTTAATGTCCCACAAAACATTAAAGCAATAAATGCAACAAGAGATTAAATCAGGGACTATCACCAAATTGGTTAGAAAGTGTCAATGTTCAGAGATGAAACCTTGCTCGAGGGTTTCTATCATAACTAGAACAGAGTGCCAGGACTTGTACAAATGCGCACAGGTGTAAGTAGTTAAACCTGCCAAACATTTCACCTGTCAACCCGAGGGTTATCTCTGAAGAAGCTGAATTTAAGTAGGAAGGTTTCCCTTGCTCTTAATAATCATTAACTGTAATTTCCTATATTGCAGGGCTTCCTTAAAGTAAACTGGAGAGGGAGCGGTAAGCTGTGTGCAGCCTCTGAAAACACGGCAACTCTAATAACTGTCCTACCTGCTGGACACTTATTAAGAAATCAAGGGAGCTTCTGAAAGTTTAAAATGACTTAGTGAAATGTGAATGGAGCGCAGATGACTGGAGAGGCAGACAGATGTTTTGTGTGAGTAAACAACGTGGTGTGAGGACCTAGCTCATGCAGAGGGTACAGATGTTGTTGAATCTATATCTTGGAGAGTTGGGTGTCCTTCAGCGACTAGGACACCTGTGCTGGATTTCACTGACAGCTCAGTGAAATTTGCATATTTGGGCAGGCTCTTCTGCACATTTTCCTACCTATCTGTACGGATTAAAGAAACTAGCACCCCACCACTACTTCTTCTCTCACATATAACTGAACAAGCTCACACTTATGCACAAGTCATTGTCTTTGTGGTGTCAGCCTCACCCGTGTAGCTGTCTGCTTTGAATATCCTTTAACAGTCCACCAGCAGCCTTAAAGGACGCCCCGCTCAGGATCCGGATCATTGTCACAGCGTTTAATAGCAGCTCAAATTAGCCTCTTCATTGTATAAAAGCCAGGAGCGACTTTCCTTAGCTCCTAGTGTTCGTGTTTCCTCCTCTCGCTCCCGTACGTAGAACCGCTAACGTTCCGCTCTGACGTAAGCGCGTCCAGCCAATTGGATACCGCGGTTTTTTTTTTAATTCGTGATACGTCGTAAAGGTTAAAGGTTAGAGCTATGATGGCTGCGCTCTGAATGTAAACAGTAGTGTTTGTCAGTTGTCCTTTGCTTGTGGGAGGACAGGTGAGAGACGGGATTGTTTATGTGTCGCAATCCTGCGCTGTTTGTCGGTGAGAGCCAGCAGAGGAGATAACTCCCAGTGCGCTGTTTGGCTTTCAGATATGAGACTGTTGTCGCAGGCGGTGAAGTTTGCGGTGACTCACCCGGAGAGGAGCCGCAGACACTTCTGGGGCTGGCTCAATGCCGTTTTCAACAAGTGAGGCACCCTTTTATTAACTCACCTCCACCTTAACAATACATCACTATACGAAAGTCTTGAGCCATACTTTTCTTTTTCTGGACATTAGCTGCTTTTTCTCTCATTTTGAGCCCAGTCCTTGTACCTGACTATATTCAGAGACTTAACCCTGACCTATGAGTCAGACAAACATAAAGCATCTAACTCAAGGAATGAACCAGTGTAGTGTCAACAGATAACAAAACACTTGGCAAACACCCCTTTAAAACGTGTCTTTAGGCACTTTGCTACTAGCAGCCTGTAATTTGTTCCTGTTTCTGTAGCTGAATGTATGAAAAATGCTAAATATAATACAGTTTGACAGGCATAAAATAGGATTTTCACACCAACAAGATGATTCCCAAAGAGAGATTAGCTTAAAACTTCGTATATCTCAGCGTGGTGTGTCATTAAAATTGGAAACTGGACATGTTGAGTACAAAATAACAAGTGAAAAGCCACTACAGCTTCTACAGCAGACAAACCTATCTGAAAGTGATGTCCTTAAGAAATATAAAAGAAAAAGAATCCAGGTAAGACTTGACACAGGACCTGAGACATGCACCTGGATCTTCTGTTGATCGATCTAGTCTGATCGAGTTAGAATGCAGCACGCATTCTAACTAAAACCAAGAAGTTTGCCCACATTACTCCTGTCCTTGCTGATCTGCACTGGTTGCCTGTCAAATATCGCATTCAATTTAAAATTTTGTTGTTTACTTTTAAAATTACCAATAACACTGCACCAAGCTATCTTAAGGAACTTTTAAACCCATATGCTCCTGCTAGGGCTTTAAGGTCATCCTCACAGTTACTGTTGGTTCAGCCCAGATCTCGACTGAAATCTAGAGGTGATCGATCGTTTGCTCTAGTTGCACCGGAGCTGTGGAACAATCTCCCGATTGGCATCCGGGCGTCTGATTCTATTCATTCTTTTAAATCACGGCTAAAAACATATCTTTTTAAACTTGCCTTTTCTACCAGTTAAATGCTGGCTTGCTTGCAGTGACCTATTGACCTATTGTATTAAATTCTCTGCTATCTTTCCATTATTGGTGTCTTTTATCATGGTGGTACAGTCTTACCTTGCTATAACCTATGTGCTGCAGTTTACTCTTATTGGTGGCTTTTATCTGTGAACATAACTCGTTACCTTTATGTATTTGATGTTAATGTGTGAACTGTTTTATTTTTTATTGTTTTATGTAAAGCACTTTGGTATGCCCAAGGCTTTTAAATGTGCTCTATAAATAAAGATTGTTGTTGTTGTTGTTGTTCACTGAGGCCTCATCAGAAATGGCCTCGGTTGAAGTATGGCTATAAAGAAGCCGTTCTTAAGGAAGAAAAAAAACAGCGTGATGTATGCTAAATCATACAAGAACCTGACCAAAAATCAGTGACAACAGGTCTGATTCATCAATATGTACTGAAGGGGTCAGAAGAAGGAAACAATAGTGAGTATCAACAGCCATCTGTAATGCACGGTGGAGGCTTTGTCATGGTTTGGAGCTGTGTTTCAGACAACGGTGTTGGGATCTTGTCAAAATTGATGGAACACAGAAGAGCAAAAGTCAGTTTTTGATCCACCATGCAATACCATTTAGAAAGGATCTGACTGCCAATGGCTTCATCTTAAACACATCGTCCATCCAGTAAAAGCATAGCTGGGTAGAAATAGACACAATGGGTCTGCTACAGTATTATTTTTTTCCCTAAACAAAGAAAACAAAGCCCACATTGAAACATATCCATTTATCTAAGATCATATAAACAAAGTCTAAACAAACACTTAAACAGAAAAGCTATTTCTAGGCCTGTATTTATAAATTAATTTTCACTTTTGTTTCATTTACAGAGATTTTTGCTTGTAACTGTTTAGTAAAGATGAGGAATTACAGTCCAGTGTTGCTTAAAATAATTTTTTTCATGTTAAATAAACTGACAACATGTTTGTTTTTGTAAACCGTTGATAATTAGTTCAGGTTTTAACATTTGCCCTAGTGGGGAAGTTGGCAATAGGATTTTTGACTTTTGTCTCTTGACCGTTCTTCCCTTTCTGCACCCAACAAATGTGACCTGTCACATTTCATCTCATATCAGCATGTGCAATACTTTGACTGTTTGTTGATCTTCACTCAGGGTGGACTATGAAAGGATAAAAGCTGTGGGCCCAGACCGAGCAGCAGCAGAGTGGTTGCTGAGATGTGGTGCTAAAGTGCGCTTCCAGGGTTTTGATCGCTGGCATCTCGACTACAACGCATTGCCAACTGGGTCTCTGGGCAGATACAAGATCCAGGCGATTGACGCCACTGAATCCTGCATCATGTACAAAGGGTTTGACTACCTGGGTCAGTGTGGAGAACATCATGTTCTTGTTCTAGACTCATTGACGTCTTCACCTAATGATCGCGGATGTTGTCTCAGATATATTTAAGTGTACACTCACACACCTGGTGAGGCTGTTGTCTTGTTAATTAACAGAAAAAATGTTCATGGGGAGGAAAACATTGATGAATTAATATTGTGTTTAATGGCTGATCTCATATCACAGAAGAAAGAAAAAAATCCATATTCTTAGATTCAGAGGGTGCAGCGTCTTCTGCACTTAAATATCTTTTGGATGCGTTTTGGATAAGTACTTTGTTAAACTCAGATATACATGCAGTTGTGGTCAGAAGTTTACATCCATGGACGTGAATCTCACAGTTATTTTGAGCTTTTAATGATTCCTTTGAACTGTGCAGATGTCATTAAAGATGTGCAGCATACACAAATGTACAAATTTGAATTTACTTCAAACTTTGGGTCAGAAGAATACATACAGGCTCAAATATATACATACAGCCTTACAGATTTAAGGTTAAGTTGAACAATTTGGAAGTAATCTTAAGATATTCTGTCCACTTTCCAGCTTAATGTCCGTGTCGTCTGACCATTAAAGGTTTCTCCAGAAAGCATTTAGCTTGTCCATGTTGGGTGCTGCAATTCTTCAAAGTATTGATCAATCCAATGAGTGCTGGTAAACAAATCCTTGTTGTGGTCGATCATGATCACTAATGAGAAGTTAATAGGCCCTGTCAAGTTAAAAGACATTGTAGAACCTTCAGCGTACTTATTAAAAGATTTAGGGGAATGCGTATATATATAGTTTTGAGTGTATACATCTTCAGCCCTGTATGGATTAGAAAAAAATCAAAAGCAAATTCAAATCTATGCACCCAGTTTTTGTTTTTTAAAGTGATTAAAATGTGTGCTGTGCAATCATTCCACCCTGGAAAAAGAACTGGTCAAAGAAATCATAAAAAAAAAAAAAAATTAACTTTAAAAATAAAGTTATATATGTCTCGTATATAATATAACAAATTAAAAGCAACATTGCAACAAAAATATGTTACAAAACTGACAGACTGTGAACTTTAATAAGGGACGCTTTGATCAACAAGGACAGAACTCAATATTCTGTACTTCCAGCTTCATAATGATCTTGTTGACCTAATGATGGCACTGGGGGAACAGAACATAAGTCATTAGGACTTATGTTCTGTTAACATCAGTAAATCCAGATGTTGACATATGTTAACATAGGTTATTTCCCTTTGAACTCGCTTTGGATTAACATAGTAAAGAGTGTGTTTAAATTAAAAATTAAAGCCAAGTTCAGAAAGTGTAAATTTTGCATTAGCTTCGACCTCGACGGTTGACCTGAAAGCGATTCCCTTCCGTGGTGTTAACAAGAAAGGCGAGGGGAAAGTGCATCTCTCTTAGACTAATTATCTAAAAGTGACGCAAGTGTCCGGGATATTTTACACCAAGCAGGCACGCACGCTTTCTCTGACCTTGCTGGCTGCTGAACTCCAGTATATATATATTTAAAGGAGAGCATGCCTGAGTCCCTTTTCCTAAACGTGCTGATGCCATTTTTTTAACATTGATTTTTCTAGATGGTTTGAAACATTTGGAAGAAGTCAAGTTCAATAAGTGTATCTACATTGAAGATGCCTGTCTGGAGAGGCTGACCTCCATAGAGAACCTGCAGGAGAGCTTGTACATGATGGAGGTGGTGTCGTGTGGAAATGTGACTGATAAGGGTATTATCGCCCTGCACAAACTCAGGTCAGTGTTTAAATTTGTTTCCTTTGGAGCGAACAATAAAGTACCGCATGTTTTAATGGTGCTTTTTTAAAAACAGTCTTATAACGAATGAAGTAATTAGGCGATGCTTCCTCTCAGGAAACTGGAGTATCTGTTTCTCAGTGATCTTCCCGGAATCAAAGACAGACAGACAACAGTTGACAGGCTGCAAACTGCACTTCCACATCTGGAAATACAGCTGGACCTGGACTGATCGTGTGAATGGCACACAGCACAACATCCATTATTCTTAGGTTTTGAGGGTTTTTTGTCGCGAGAAGGTGTGGCGTAATCATTCACAGAGTTGTCATCTCGTCAGTCCAACAAAGAGTCAAATGAAATCGCTGGTGACACTAGTTCACTGTGATATTTATTCAAAGTAACTCCATATTAGTGTACATAGAGAAAGCAATTGAAAAGGTTTATTTTAAGAGTCATTTACATCTTCTTTTTAGATTATTTTGGCATTCATCATTAAATATCTGAGGACAAACAGATGGCTGAAAACATCCTTAGCACCAATATTCCAGAGACGTTGAGTACAGTGCGACTGCTGCTAATAAATGTTTGTGAAAGTGGGATAAAGGATGTTTAATGTCTGTATTTACTCCTAATGTCAATAAATAAGATTTTCTGAAACGCTCACGAGCAGTTTAACTTCATGTCCTGCATTATAACTTACTAAAATAACAAACAAGTTGCTCTTATAAAGCCCGTCATTATATAAAAATACATTTGGCAAACCAGGCAAGGCAGTACATTGGAGTTTTTCCTTCAGTCTACTGTGCAGCTACGAGCGGAGCAGCTCACTGCTTCTTGTCTCTATACAAAATCAGCCTGAAACGACGGCGACATACATAAACCAACATGACCTGCTGGGAGTAGTGCATAGACTGACATCAACGAGAGAGATACTAGAGACACCTCATGTGATACACCTCATAAAAAGTGGTTGGAGCTTCATTAAATGTGTTTAAAAAGTGCTACTGGAGTATGCGTCACGTTACTGAGCTCTTGGTGGTGGTTGGACTCGGATCAGGACCAGCGGGATTAGATGTTCGGTAGGTGATAGTTGAATTTGCGCAGGTTGTTGTAGTACCTCTTATTGTCCAGAGCTGGAAAGAAGCCGCTGCTGGTCAACTGTGGCAAATACTGTAGAGCACAAAAATCAGTAAAAACAAGTTTACAAGGGCATTTTTTAAAAGATCGATGAGTTTTACAACCTGAGGTTTGGACTCTGACTGGGTCTCTTTTTCAGAGAGTCTGTTGTGGATTTGCTGCCGTGATTATGATCATTGTCCTGTTGCATTGTCCTCGCATTTAATTCTAGAAAACCCCGGAAAACAATTCACGGTCGACTCTATAGCTGTAAGGTTCTTCGAGTGCAAAACAAACCCAGATCTTCACTCCTCCACCACCGTGCTCGACTGTTGGTGTGAGGTGTTTTACTGACACACTGTGTTTGGTTTTTACCAAATGTGGTGCTTATGGCCAAACAAAGTGGAACTTTGGTCTGATCTGTCCAAATGGTATTGTTCCAGAAATCTTGTCATCTGTTTAGTTGCAACGTTGGAAGCTGAAGCTGTGCTAACATGTCCTTTTTAGAGAGAAGAGGCTTTCCTTCCAAACAAGCCACACTTGTTCAGTCTTTTTCACATTCAACATGCTAACTGAGATGTAGCTCTTGTTTTGTTTTTTAGTTTCTCTGAGCATTGCATGATTTGACCTTAGGATGAATTTGCTGGGATGTCCACTTCTGGGAACATTTTGGTTTTGTGTTAACACACACCTGCATGCTACAGTCCTGCAAACTGCCAAAAACCTCTGCTTTTATGGAGTCGGTGACCCTCGTTGATGATCATTAGATAAGTGCATTTTATTAGCAACACTTGACTGCTACTTACCCTCTATGATGGAGTATTAGGGACAAATTAAGAACAAAAATATTGATCATTTTGAGAATAAAGTTGAATTGTGGCGATTGCAGATGTTCTTTCGGGACAAACTGCCATGTTATGTTTTGTAGTTCATCGATGTTGTATTTACCTAAATTTCAGACCTCGGGACCTGATTATCTTTTATTATATCCTGATATATAATAAGTAGTATAAGTGGTATAAGTAGTCATCTATTAATAACATATAAGAAGTAGTTTTTGATTTGTAACTTTTAAGTGCTCGTTTTAATAGTATGAGCCGATATAACCACTGACAATTCTGTATTCAAGTTAAAACACAACCAGTTTGGCACCAGTTATCCCAAATATGGTACGTCATCTTTATCATTGGAACAGAAGGCTGCTCACCCCGGGGGGAACGTGTCTGCGAGGTAAACGTGTCCTTTTGTTGCCGGAGCGGTCCTGCTGTCGAGATGTGCTCTCGTTTCTTTCTCTCAGGCTGTCGAAGTACGGATGCTGGAGGAGCTGCTCACAGGTCAGCCGCTCAGACGGGTCCATCCGCAGACAGCCCTGCACCATCACGTGTGGACAGAGCACCAGAATTTGTCAGTTTTGTAAAACAGCAGCAGGAGGAACTGCAAACATTAAAATAAAAACAACTTCACCTTCATCAGGCTCAGAGTTTGATGTGAGAGGTTTGGATACTTTTGCTCCAAAGATTCCTGCAGAAACCGAAGAGCAAAAGGACTTTTTGAAAAGACAGTCACAAGTTTAGATATTTCTTTTTGTTCATTTATTATTTCAGTGAAATGATCTTTATTCGGCCTTTTCTGACTGAAATAAAGGAAGCAAAACTCGTCGTCACCATCTGTTGTGGCTCTGGAATGGATACTCCACAGAAGAACTGGTTGTTGCTGAAGACCTGCTGGTGTCGAGGAATCAGATCTCCTGGAACATAATCACACAGCGAATAGCGAGTATAACGCATTATACCTCACCGATAAAATTAGGGGAAAAAATCGCTATAAGATATTGTTTCTCCGAAAATGTAAAGGCATTTTACGCAGGAGGCTGATCTTACCGAGGGTCTTTATGATCAGGTACAGCTGGTCCATGTCCGACTTCCCGGGCCACAGAGGCGTCCCCGAGAGGAGCTCAGCAAACAGGCAACCGATTGCCCACACGTCCACCGGGGGGCCGTACTGAGTGTCTCCCACCAGCAGTTCGGGGGCGCGATACCAGCGGGTCGCGACGTAGTCGGTGTAGTAGTCACACGGACCAGCTGCCAAACACAGAAATGCACAACATCCAACATCATTTCAACTATCAGTGAAAACACACATAGTTTCTGCAAAGACTCATTCAGTGAGTCATCCCAGAGCTGCAAACATCATTTAGCCGTTTTCCTGTAATTTAATAAAGTGAATGTTGTCAAAATTTAACCCAGAAAGAGACACTTTGCTCTTTTTCATTGTGTGATACTGAACTGAATATCTTAAGTTTGTTGTTGGGGATTTCTGTTGGTTTTCAGGGAATCATTTCTGAAGGAGGGATTAAAACAAATATTAGTAACAAGCCTTGAACTCTTCTATGTGAATCTGAAGCACTGAAACTATCCAGCAAGTACTTAACCAAGTTTAGGGTAACATTCATTAAGTTGTAAATATGAATATGCACTTGTAATGGTAACAGTGACCACTAAGGGGCACTGTCAACACTGTTGCAGCTGCTGATGAACTTACTGAGTATCCTGGCAAAGCCAAAGTCGCAGAGTTTGATGACTTGATGCTTGGTGATGAGAATATTCTCTGGCTTGACGTCTCTGTGGATGCACTGCAGAGACAGTACAGTAGAGTTACACCACTCTATGAACTTAACCACATGCTTTCTGATGGGAGTAGAAAGAGATTGTAGACTTCAAGCCACATTGTTATACGGGGGCCGTTCTAGCGTTTGTTGTGTCTTGGTGATACATTAACTGCTGGTCAGCCACGGGAAAGGAATTCTTGTAAAAAAAAAAGAGCCATAAAGCAGAGTGTTTGTTGGGTGGTGGAAGAGGGAGGAGGGTAGTAAGGAATTGAAAAACAAAGCAGAGGGGAAGGTTTGACAACTGGGAAATACGCTACGTGAGGAGTCAGGTGGGAGAAGCGAGCGTGACGTGACTTACATTCTGTTTGTGGCAGAAGTTGACGGCCTGAAGCGTCTGCCAGGTTATACTTTTAACAAGATGCTCTGGGACGCTGTAGGACAAGGAGGAAATCAGTTAACTGATAGACAGAAACTTATTCGAGCTTGAAGGGTATTTGTTGATCTTGGAAAAGATTCTTAGAACAAAATGGGGTTAACTGGAAAATTTCCAAATACGTGATGACATTGTCAGAGACTGAGCTTGGAGCTTCACGCTTGCCTGCCTTTCTTAATGTAAGGCCTTTTATTGGAGGGAACAAGCTTCCTGATACACTATCAACAAGCCCAAGTGATGCCAAAAAAACAGACATTAAGATTTCTGCCATGTTTACTAGATTTAGTATTTATATTGTTTATATTTTGTATCGTTATATTGTTTTGGGTCTGTGTGGTGGTGAACAAAAATATAAAACCCCTGGTTTGGTAAAAAAAAAAGTCTGGGATCAGTAAAATCTGTAAGATGCATGCTCTGGGGGTCATCAATGTCTGTGCAAAACTTTCAGTGTGGTCCGTAAAGTCATTGATGAGGTGGGGTGTGAAGGTGGTAGACCAGGGGTGCCCAATCCCAGTCCATGCATCTCTACTCCAACACAGCGGAATCAAATGGTTTGATTACCTCTTCAGCATGCCATCAAGTTTGGCAAAGGCCTGATAACAAGCCATTCATTTGATTCAGGTGTGTCGGAACAAGGTGCATCTAAAAGCTGCAGGATAGTAGCTCTCAAGGACTGGCATTGGGCACCCCTGTGGTAGACTGACCAGCAAACAGACATCCCTGGAGTGGTGCTGCTAAAGAGGCCAGTCATACAGTATATGGATAAAAGGCTACCTACACTTTATGCCTACGGGAGCTGCTGGGTCATGGAAACCCATGTCACGAAGCTCCCGGCACACAGCTTTTGTGCTGATGTTAATGCCACAGAAGGTTTGGAGCTTTGCAGTTAGTGAATAAGAAGAATGTTAGCATCCTTCATGCATTCAGCGACACTCCTCTGTAACGTTGCGTGATCTGACACTTTGCAGCCGAGTTGCTGTGGATTCCAAGCACTTTGTGGAATCTTGGAATATCTACGAGGAAAGAAATTTCACAAACTGACTTGCTTTTTGTACCCGATGAAGGTCAGTAAGACCATAATGTTGTGATTTGATAAAATAATGGTTTGTGAGACAGTTTTGGGAGGAGCTTGGAATAGAAGTCGCGTAGCTCGTCACGGTTCATTTAGCAAAACACAAAAAAATACATTTGTTCTGTTTTCTGCTCTGTTTTGTTTCATTTCTAGTTTTCTTTTGCCGCTCTGTGGCTGAAGATGACAGTCAGTAATGGCCAGCCATTTCTTTCTTGAGGCACAATGTTCAACAACTGAGGCTTTATTGGTCAAGGGGCCGCTATCTACCAGTGTTGCTGGGGAAATGGCTAATTCGAGCCTTGTGACTGGCAATTTATAACAATCTCAGCCCCTTTCTATCTATTTTGTTGTCTCTTCTTTTGAACCCGTCTGTGGCCTGAAGGCTATAGGCCAGGACTAGAGGAGGGCGGGGGGACTGGAGAGCCAAAACACTCCCTATAAAATGTGGCTCCCTTCCAGCAAAGCATTCTGGGAGGGCATCACTGTAAGCATACCACAGAAAGCCAGTCAGTCTCCCAGGAGATGAGCGTTGTGCCCATCAGAGCTGGACAAAGCGGCATACATGCTATATAAATGAAGTTTGGAGATAGCCGAAAGCCAGGTGTTTGCAATGCTGTTCTTTAAACATGTGCAGTTACAAAGCAACTACCAAGTAAATGCATGCATCTCTTTCTTTCAGGGAGGTTTTGTGGGGAGACACACCCACCCTCTGGGATGGCGGTCCAGCTCGTTGAGGACGGTGTGATCGCAGTACTCGAAGACCAGGTGAAGCTTCCGTTTGCGTCGAAACACTTCGATCAGATTCACCAGGTTGGAGTGTTTCAGTTGCTGCACAGACAGAAAACAGAAATCCCAAACAGACATTACAAGCAGAATCTGCTGCACAGAGGAGTGGCTCATCAGTCTCTGTATCTCAAACACACTAAACTGTTAAGAGAGGGTAATAAACATGCTGTTGCCCCTGACAACCTGTCCTATTTACGAGCTCCTGATGTCCAGCAGGCCTCCAGCGCTCCCACCCACTGCATGACTAATTAAACCACCAACAAACGCATCGGTACATCTTTGATAAATATGTACATCGTTAACAAAACACATGACTTGACCACAACTGAGCCTAAGCTTCCAATTTACAGCCTAAGAAAGATATTCAACTCGCGCCAGAGGCTTTTTTAAAAGATAACTCAATGTTCACAGACATTTCACACTGCAACTGAAATACTGGAGTCAGCTCTGACCCTGCAGGGTTTTGCCTTCATTTGATTACAGCCCTCTAAACCTTTTCTCAAGTTTGCTGGTTTGAAAGCAAAGTGTTTCCCCTCTGTCGGCAGAATTAATTGCACCGTGTCCCTCCCGCTGGCTGCACAGGAGGAGGAATGCTTTACATTTCCTTGCATTAAAAACAAGATTTAAATCCTCTAAAGACTGAGTTAAAGTTTCAAAACAACAGTTTGGCTGAGAGTTATGATAAAAACTTGATTTGTTAAGTAAAAAAATGTGAATGTTTTACGCTTCCTGCTAATAATTTTATCCTGATGAGTTTTTTATTTGATAAATGTAACTTCGTAAGTCATATATTTCGTTCTTAGTCACATAATTTTATCTTGCAACTCTGCATTAAGAAAACCAGTTTTGTAAAGCAGACTTTAGCATTACATGCCTCTTTTATTTATTTATCATTTTGATGTTTTTCTCTCGCAACTTCTGTACTAATTTGCAAGCTTCTGTCAGACAGGCTGCGTCTTTACCTTGAGCATCCTGATCTCCCTCAGTGCAATTTTTTTAATGATGGGATTATCCTCTGACTCGACAAACTTCTTGATGGCGACGATCTGGCCCGTGTCTTTGTTTCTGCACTTGAAGACGACTCCGTACGAGCCCTCTCCAATCTTCCCAATCTTCTCGTACTTCTCCATACTGAGGAGGAAGCAGTGCTCCTCTGAAAGGAGACAAAACAAAAACTTTACAAGCAGCAGTGGCAGCCTGAAAACAGACAAAGAGGAAAAGAAAGGAAGAAGGGGGCTTTACTTGATAATCTACTGCTTTTATGAATGGTTTACACAAGCCAAGCTGCAAAAATTAGCTTTTTTAAAAACAAACAAACAAACAAACAAACATGTTTTTGCAGCAATAAAAAGTATGAGCAACTTTTGACCCGTCAAAAGCATGCCTGCATGCAAGCTCGTTTTACAGGGATGAAAATGTTAGGGTAACTTCCTAAATGGCCCTGCACAAAGAGGGAACGTTACACCCATCTCCCAGCAGATTGCGTAACAAAAACATTTGCAATGCAAAGTATATTCGGTCATTTCCCTGAGGGGGACACAAAGATTAAGACTAATAACATGGTGAGGAGAATATCAAAGTGCTGCACTGAAAAATTTGAATGCATTTCAAAGGGGGAAATACCACCTCTGATTAAAATATAACCTCTAAGTATAACACCTGATATTTATGATTAAAAGCTGTTATTATGGTCCAGATATCTGAATGAAAGGTGACTCCTGAAGTAAGCAAACATAATTTAATATTTATGAGAAAAGAAGTACAGAAATGTCCACTTGGAATGGCCACACATTATTACATCACTTGCTGACTTCATGTATACACACAAATGACATCTTAATTATTATCTTTTTGTGTGTATTTACATCCTGAGCCACAAATCGGGAGATTATCTTTAATTTATTTGCACCTCAGTCCTTCTGTGCAGCTCCGTGCAACCTACACAAATACTCTGCAGTGGATGGATGTAGTAGTGAGGGGCCTTTAGTGAGAATCATCTGCTTCTGAATGGGAATAAGATGATGACAGATATGATCAACTTCAGAAGAAAAAGGATGGCCACACTAGCTATATCTATCCTGGGACAGTAAGTTGATGTGGTGGAGGAGTGCAAGCACCTGGGAGCCCCATCATCAGACAGCAGACTGAACTAGAAGACCAACACAGAGGCTGTATTCAAGAAGGGTGTGAACAGGGTCTATTTCCTGAGGAAGATGAAGATCCTATATATCAGTCAGTTGTAGCAAGCACAGCTACAGCTGACTGAATAATCTCATCAAAAGAGGCTGGCTCTGTGATTGGCTGCAAACTGGAAGCACCTTTGAAGCTGTGGTGGAGAGCAAGTCGCTGAACAAACTTCTATTGATCATGGATAACATGGATATTTTGATAGAGGCATCTGTCAGATAACATGATTGTTATTATCAACTATTCATCATTACTTCAACTGCTATAACAAAATAATTTCCCAAATAATGGATAAATACAGCACTTCCCATCTCATCTCTTTACACCTGCCTTCTGTAGTGCCTGGACACTGTATAATTTATTAGAAACAACAAAAAAAACAACAACAAAATTGCTAAATTGATGCCTCGAGAAGGTGCAACTATTTTTTTTTTTTTAAATACCCATGCTACTTTATTTTAACATGGAAATAAAGTGTTTCTGTAAAGCCTATGGACGAATAATCCTGACCATTAAAGTAGAATAACCCAAAATAAATCACATTTATAAACTTACTGTCCGTAAAATGCTCGCAGATGTTTCTTTAGGAGGAAATCCAAATTCAGGAGGACCCTCTTCTTCCTCCAAACACCATCAGCCTGCGAGGTAGACGATCACAGAACAACTACTCCTGCAGCTCCAGCGAGCTCCTGTTTTTAACCCGTAAAGGTGGTTAAATGAAACCTACATCCGGTCGCGCTTTTCAAAATAAAGTGACCCAACTGTAACTGCATTTTTTTCTTCATTTTTAATGCTGTCACTTCTTTAACATTATCATCATTAATATCCCTTGACTGTGCTTCACTTGCACACCTGTTAAAAATTAAGTATGAAAAGCATTTTATCTTAAAACAAACTCGAATCTTTAACTCCTATTTTGATGAATCAGCTGCGTGTTTCATTTTGGAAGTAAGATCACATGACTTCCGGTGCTGCCCACTGAATAAGTCTCCCTGAACAACAACTTAACACTTCTGCTTTTTTCCACCCTGGTGTCCATAGGAACCACTGACTCCACCCCCCACCTCCAGAGGAAAAGGGAAAGCAGGACTCCTGTGGATTATCACACCTGAGAGAGTTACCTTTGTCAGGCTGTTTACCTACAAACGTCATTATCGTCATGCCTGACTCATTTCAGTCTAACAGGAGAGCTCAACCACTGACACATGGGAAACATTTTAGGGTTGTTTTCTCACACATCTGAGTCCATGTTTACCCGACCATCAAAAACCCTTAAACCACATCAGCCTGATATCATCCAGTACGTAACACTGAGCTGCAAATTTAGTCTGGTCTCACTGTGACCAATTAGCCCAGGGAGTCACATCAGACTGAAAGCAGAACGAAAAAAAGAGGAATAATGGAAACTAAAACTCACCATCACCTGCTCTCCCTAACAAGAGATTATCTCACGACACAAGAATAACCCACAGCTCGTTCTCATGTTAACAACAGCTTTTATTATAAAAACAGTACACATTAAGCAAAGGGAATGCAGAGATGTTAATAAAACCTAGCAGTCCCTCATTTTGTCTTTTTATTTTAAATAAAAATGTACAAAAGTGCTTACATGGTGCAAATAATGATAAGTAAAGGGTCTATAAAAGAGGGGGGTAAAGAAAAATAAAAACAAAAACATGTACAGTATATCCAATTTCTAAAAAAAAAAAAAAAAAAAAAAAAAATGCAGCAGAGCAGGAGATGCAACTATATTACAGAGCAGTAAAAATAACCCAAAGCTGCTTAGGTAGTTAATTTTAACACAGCAGACCGCTCCGTCACCGTGTATAAATCCAACATACCCTCTTACGGAAGATGAGGTTAATAAATATTGCTTAAATAACCCACAGCACTTGTGAGTTTCTGTTTCAACTGATCTATTATTCTCACTACAGAGCTTGTAAAATCTCCTCTCAAGCTTACTAAGGTTTGCCACAGGCAGTAATTATGAGTGACAGACAATAACACAACAAATCTCCCATGGTTTCCTAATACAATCACAATTCTTGTGAATTTTAATGGCACTTTTGTAATAATACCGCTAGATAATTTGTTTGTAACTCAGTCCACAGAACAGGAAAGTGAGGAAAACGCTAAGTAATGATGATTATTCAAGCTTTTTACTGCTTCTCCTCCTGCTCGTAACAGTCCTCGCATTGTTTGAGATGACGGAGGCTACAGTTAACGTCTTGCTGGTGAAAGGCTACGTATGAATCCGAACTGACCAGGCTCCTCTTTTACTGACCTGCAGATCCCGTGATCAGTAACAAAAGCTCCCAAAAACGCTTTTAAACCGGACAATTCTCGTAACAGAAACGCAGGTCTAAGAGTGTCATTTTCTCCCAAAAGTGAGGCCTCTTATCCACTTTTCAAAGACCTGGTGAGTCACTGGCTGAGGATCAGTAACTGTTCTCGTGACCTGCTAAAATATAGAGGTTGCTCAGGGCCGTGGGGTTGTCGGTCGGTCGACTCTCTAAGACCACCACCCTGCAACAGAAACACAGGAACAGCAGTTTGTAAGAAAAACATAATATCCTGTTTCTTTACACAACAGTCATTTAATGCAAGGAAGCCATTTTTCCCCACTCGCTTTGCTTTTACTGGAAATCCCTGCTGCTCTCTTGATTTTCCACTTCGATCACTTCCTCTCGTCTACACAGCTCTGACAACAACGTGTCTTCCCGGTAATTACTTTTCCAAAAACCCCTACAACACGATTCAGGTGTTTCAACTAAACCCTCATTCCCTCATCATCTAAGATCCTGGAAGATTCTTCTTATCACTCGTTGTTTTCCCCACACATAATCTGATCAAAAAGGTCTAAAGCCCTGATTTACATTTGTTGGGAATCTATATAAAGCCTACAACGTAACCTACATAAGTGGTTGACGTTGCTAGCATTTATGCTGGTGCATTACGTGTTCAGTACCACGTGGTTGTGTCCTGGTGTTTTATATGTGGTGTCAGTCATGATAGAAATAAAATGCAGGGACTTTTTCATATTCATGTTTGTTCCTGGAGTCCTACATTCCTTGACTTCCTGATGTCGTTTCAGGAATTTGCTGACATTTGTGAGTCCTTACTTTAATGCTATGATTATTATTTCTCATATTAAGGGGGTGACCGTTATTCTGTCACTAATAAATCAAAAACTGTGGCGAAACAGCACAGGAGGAATTGATTGTGCTGATCAGGCAAATCACAATTACATTGACCTGAGATGGACATGAGATTATGCCGTAAGATTTCAGAAGGGTTATAGTGTAGCTAGGCGTAGATTCCCCACTGAAGCATTAATCCTACGTTACTGTATTGTTTTTTTAAATTGATAAAAATGGGTAAAATTGATGTTTTTAGTGATGAAAATTATGCATATTTTATGTGTAACACTCAAAGATCAGTTTGAAAAATGCAGAGAAACAACGAGAAGACAGCTGGTCGACTTCGTTCACCCACAGCTTTGATCAGATTATTGACAGTCTGATAAAAAAAAAAAAAGGAAAGGAAAAAAGGCTGAACTGCACTGAAACTGACATTAGCGACGTGTTGCATAATGTTCGTGGTTTCAGTGTGCAGAGTCATGCATGTTAAGTAATCAACAGTCAGATGACGGCCAGATCAGGACGGCAGTGGGTGCATCTTCAGATGCCATCGGCCTTGTGGCGGTGACAGCTGAGCGGAGAAGCTGCAGTCTATACTGCCCGTTCCATCAGATGAAATTACAGAGGCGCGGAGAGACACTCAAACCAGGCTGGCAGTGCCCAGGCGGCGGTGAATAAAACATGGCGGGCTGGGCAGCAGAGAGTGGCCTCGCTCTGGTGCCACAAGTCGGGGCGGCTCCATCAGGAGTCACCGCTCAACGAGAGGTGCTGCTGGGAGATCGTCCTCCAGTTTGAGCATGCTCTGTTTCACTGAGTCTAAAAATCACATCCTGCTTCATCTGCAGCTGAGAGCAGTCACCACAGAGAGCGCAATCGTAATTTACTACAGTGTTACCTAAAAGTAAATCAATAAGACGATTTGATGAGGGACAACCAAAGTAACACACTTGAAAGTAAATGTCTGAGTGCAGTGACAGATGAGAATTGTCTGCTCAAAACGTTATGGGTGAGGAGGTTGTTTGGTGGTTCTCAGGTAATGGAAAAACACACCTGAGGGATAACGGTCATAAACTAGCGGGACAGGTTTCATGGGAATTATGGGATGAATAAATAGCTATACCAAAAAATAATACCAAAAAACAAACAAAACAATTAATAATAGAACAGATGCTTAAAAGAGGAGGGACTGTAGGCTGTACTTCCTCTACTGATGACATATCTGAAGTGTAAGGATCTGTACCAACCTGTCAGATCCAAGGAGGCGGAAGACTCTGCTTGGATCAGAAATCTCCTGGGTTACCTTCAAAAGAAAGAACACACACACACTTTCATGTGACAACTGGCTGTATATCAGAAGTACTGCTGGCAGTGAAGGTACACTGTAACGCAAGAATAACAAAGTATAAAGATTCTTAAACTGCATGGGGACATACACGAAAGGCTCTGTGGTGTTACATCACACCTCTCTCATTAACACACCTCTCTCATTTCACTATCATCTATTAAAAGATCTGCAGAATTCCCAAATTAGTCCATCTCCTGTGTTTAAATTTTGAATTCACAGACTTCCCCTTTTATAACAGACTATCTAATGTTTTTAACAAGCCCCCAGTGCCATCTCTGCTGTGTACCTATGAGCCTGGAGCTTACTGTTACCTCTACTCACAATATGTAGCCTGACACCATGCAGGGTAAAGGACAGGGGCCCCTTCAAAACACTCATATGCTGGCATGTCATGAAAACTTGTTGACAGATGTGAGACAGTGAGTGGCTGACACCTGCTAGGTGTAAGACCTTGGCCCTGGGAGAGATCTGATCTGTTTAAGTCTAAACGAGAACAAGGTCTCGGGTGTTCACAGATGCACCCACCGAGGAAAACACGGATCACCAGACGCGCCCCCCCCTCTGAATGCCTTCGCTTTTCACAGGAATCATAACAAGACAAAGGCTGAATTATTTAGCAGCTTCTCCCTGTTGTGTGACGGGTTTCGCTTATGATTGAGTATGAATTTTGCATGACTGCTGACATTTCGAAAATCCTTGCTATGGTCAATCTGTCAAGCTGGGCCGGGCACGGACTCGGGGCACAGACCTTCTGTTTCATTCGAGTGCTGCTGGACCATGTCTCACACAGCCAGCTTTCAAAAGGGCAGCCCCTAAGGCCATATCAATTTTCATTTAAGCAGAATGCTTCACCTCTCTGCGATCTCTTGAACTTTTATTGTACCGCTGAGCGCATCTCGTGATCAGGTTAGCTTGGAATCCCTCCGTGGAAAGGTGGACAAATTCATTACCACGCTCTAACACAAAGACACGCTGTCTGCTCCACCTGAGGGCTAATCTCCTGGGATCACCTACAGCTTGCAGCCACACACATAAACAGACACTACGGGTCTTTGTTGACAGGAGAGAGAGGTGTTTGTTCATGTGTACAGCACACAAGCCTGTGTCAAGGATGTTAACACATACTGCATTCACAGTTTCCACCCTGGCACCTATTGAGGAACCATGAAAATGATGGTGAAATTTTAAATATCACGGTTCTTGTTAAGAGCACAAGAAAAAGAAAAAGAAAAAAAGAGCAGGTTTTATTTTTCTCCCCAGGGTGATTAAAACGACTGTATTTTACCTCATTGGACTTGAAGCTCTTTCCTTGCATGCCATGTTTCCAAAAGGCCAGAACGCTGTCCTGAAGGCACACTGTTACAATACAGAGGAAACTGTGTGTTAGTGCACAAACAGGTCAAACATTACCCAAGACTAATCAATTTAATGCTATGATACATTTACACAGCCCTTTTTTACAACTTCAGTCTGAGCTTATAACTGGGGCGCTGCTTTACAACTCACTCGGCTGGTTGGGTGACCTAAGTGCCGAGTGGGGTCCTGGCTTTGACTCTGCCCTGGACCATTTCCTGTGTGTCAACAAAGGACCCCCTGATGATCCTCTAATCATCATCAGGGGGTCCTTTTGTCCCTCTGTGGGGGGAAACTCCCACTAGGTTTATATCTGGGACTCTCCACCATTTGACCTTAGAACTGAAGAAGCTTCTCGGATGAGAGGTGAAACGTCTTCAAGCAACTTAAAGAAGTCCAGACGCTTTTCTTTGCAAGCTCCTTTGACTACGATGACCTGGATGACTGAGAACCTTCACAGACATATGTGTCATTAATGGTTTCCTGTCTGTGCTCTACTGTCCCTGTCCAATGAAAATGTCCAAAAAATTATTATAAATCTGTTTCGCACTGGAGTTTATAAAACACTTCCTTTAAAATTAAGAAATTTAATCTTTTACTAACAAGAAACATTTTCCAGAACCAAAACGTCTTTTAAACACTGATGCCTTTCAGAAATCTCACCAACAGCTTCGATGCAGAAGTCAAAGCTGAGCTCAGAAGCCAGCTTCTTGTTGGATTTCAGTCTGCCCAGGAGATTAACGATCTTCACATTTTCTGGGGAGAGAAATATAATTATTGTTGTGCTGTATGTATATGTGTATTCTCCTCAGCGAGTGGGCCAATCTGAATGAAATCCGATCACGAATTTGAAAAAGTGCCGCAGGGATCTTGCTACTAGTAGTAATGGTGGTTGATACAGTTTGTGTACAGTGTACAGACACTTACGGTCCAAACACACCAACACTGTGTCTCTCTCCAGCTGGGTGACATGGATTGCGTCCACCTGCTGATTACCTGTGGGGAGAGAAGTGCTCAGTAACCGTCCTGCTCTCCAACTCTTTCTTCTATTACTTAGTTTATTTTGCAACACTACTGGATATGCCATCAGTTCACTAATGCTACACATGCTTTTGTTTTTCTTCAATTTTTTTTATCCAAGCATCTTGAATTCTTCCACAATTCTTAAAACAAGGCACATGTTAGACTTACCTGGTCCAATTTCTGTGAACCATGATGAGCAGGAGTTGAGGTTGATAGTCTCAAAGCAGACCACCTGACTCGGCTCTGTGGCCTGGCTGATGGCAACACACACCAGAGGATACTCCTGCTCTGGAACCACCAGCATCTCAAACACCTTTAGCGGGCTGGGAAGAGGGAAGTCAAAGTGCTGCGCCAGGAAGAGAGAAGCAACATGTTATCTATGATCACCGGTGTTCCGCTGTTTAAAGTACAAGAGCATCAGTTTTATATAATTATGCTTATGGAGACACTTTCACAATGAGCTGTGGAGCAAAGGAGTAAAATCAAACATGCATGCAAGTTATGAAGCACAACCTTACTGGAAAAGCAGAGGCTTAATTAGAGATGTTCATGTTTCTGCTGTGAGAAAAATAACCAACTGACCTTGATGAGCATAAATCTCTGCATGGGCTCATACCACTGCAAAAGGACAATCCCAGACTGAAGCGCTCCACACAGGTACTTGTGGCCAGTATACGGGTTTCTCACTGTGGATCAGAACAAAAAGTCAGAAGAGCATACAAAACTAAAATGTTGTGGCAAAAAAAGGAGGCCATGATGCAACTTTTATACAGACACGGTTTAATATGCAGGGTTTAAAGGGGAAAAGCCACTCACCAATGCAGCACTTGTGACAGCCCTTTGTGTCAGGGATCTTAGTTGTCAAGGCAAATCTCCTGAGGAGAGAAAGAGTCAAGTTGTCGTGACCACAGTCTTAAAAGAGCTGATGACGTCTAGAATCAGGGAAGTTGGCCTGTGGTTCTCTTTTTCTCTGTACCGCTGCAGCAGTTTGTCACAAAGGTAAAAAAACAACAAAAAGACTGCACAGCATGGGCGTAGCAGCAACACTTTAAATGAGAAAACCAGTGGTGTGATCTTATCACAGTGTGTCAGGCGCCTGCTGAAAATGCGGTTAGATAATCTTATTTATGAGTTTCAGATACCAAACCAGGCCTTTCGAGCTTACTTGGGCAAAGGGAAGCGATGAGTCTGGAACTGAGCGGCCAGGCCCGGCTTCTTCATCTGCTCGAACAGCCCGATGAGATTGTGGGAGTACAGCTGGAAGGTTTTACCTGCACAGCGTGGGACACAGCGTATCCCATCATCAGTTTCATTACGGGCAATAATTTCTAAATATTTTTGACAAACTTGGATCTCCTGAAGCAGTTTTCACATGTAGAAAGGTTAGATGTGGACAGGGGTAAAAACAGAAGTGTGATGATGATGATGTGAGCCATGATTACCTTCTGATGAAGCCAGTTAATAGAATATCAAATCAAGCCAGGGAAGAGGAGGGTGGACAGTGTCCAAGGGAAGAGGAGAAGAGAACAGAGGTTAAGTAAACCGAGGTGCAAAACTGCTGAAGGTAAAACCGAAAGCAGACCTGACGCTTCATAATCCCATCTTCAACTCTTAAGATGAGAAAAGGGGAAGTCGTTGGGACATCCAATTGAAGACAGTTTGGTTTCAAATGATAGCTAGCACATCTGATTTCTATATGGAAGACACTACCCTTGGCTACACTAACAAAGAGCAATATAACTGCGTTTCTTCAGTAAAGGGACAGGCCGTAAAGCCAGATGTGCCCCTCTTGGGTCACTGCTACAAGTATAAATTTTTTAGAGAGGCTTTCTGGGGCTAAACAAAGTACACAGTTATTTTTGGGCACAAATATAGCGGATGTGTTGCCTCAGGGGAGCAGCCAGATAACACAGGACAAAGAAGCAGCAGGTTATGACAGTGGCTGTTAAAGCAGGAGGTTGTTATAAATCCATCACCTACCTGATAAAGACATCAGGTTGTTGTTGATAACGTACAGCCACGTGCATTTCCTTGGGAAGAGCTAAACAGAGATTCAAACACAATAATTCAATAACTAAACATTGGCTTGTAAAAGAACAGAGTCAACAGTCAAGCTGTCCAATCAGAGCTCAGCAGGTTTTCTCCACACCTCAAAACACAAATAATTCATTATGATGTACCAAACTCTTTATCGTGTTTCGGTTGTTTTGCTCCACCAACTTTAGGATTATGATTAAAGATGAAAAGTGACGAGATCGGTTCTGTTTATCAGTCTGACTCTTTAGCAGATGTCTGACTGCTTTCTGTATACACAGGGTTTCAGTACAACAGCTCATTATGTCTCAACTTGACACTGAAGTAGAAAGAGAAATGAAAACTTAAAAAGGTCAAAATAAATTCTTAAAAAAATAAAATAAAAAACACCACAATGCATGCACACACTTCTGATTATTTAAACAACTAAGATCAACTCACATTGCTTATTAGAATTGTGTAATGCACTCAAGTTCCGAAATAGCTGGTGTTCTTTGCACAAAGCCCAAACTGACTGAGATGTTGAAAGCTCGTTTCTTCCTCTCTGCCATGATTGTGTCAAAATTTGATAAAAGAACGTGATCAGCTTGGACGTATATCAATCAGAAGGAACTAATAATTTGTGACCAGTTTGTGCAGGCTACAACTGCCAGCCCATGAATAATTTATTTTAATTTTCAACTATGATCAATTTATCTCAAACAAAATATGTATCACAGACTTTGTAGGTAGCTGTACCGTAGTTAAACCACAGCTTAAAAAGCCTTTACTTAAACTGGGGGTCTTAGCTATTATAGACCAATCTCCAAACTTCTTATTTCTAAAATTCTTAGTAGTATTTATCAAACAATTAACTGATCATTTGCAGAGGAATAGTTTATTTGAAGAGTTTCAGCCAGAATGCAGAGTACATCAGAGTGCACTCCACAAACCGCACTAGCAAAGGTTACAAATGATCTCGTGGCCTCTAATTGTACACTCATCTCTTTGCGTCTGTGTTTTATATATTCAGCTATGAAGTCAGATTAAAATTAATTAGTTAAACTACAGGCATATAAACTGGTGTGTGAATGTGTGTGTGAATGGGTGGATGACTGGATGTGTAAAGCGCTTTGCGGTCCTTAGGGACTAGTAAAGCGCTATACAAATACAAGCCATTTCCCATTTCCCATAAAGGCTTGGATGAGCTACTATCAATCTTCCAAATTCTGAATTCAAATGAAAGTGAGATTTGATCTGAATTCGGTGATTTTTGACCATGATATATCCTTCAATGTGCACATTAAACAACTATACAGGACTAATTCATGCATTCATTGTTTCTAGGCTGATCAGGTTGCTTTTACAGTTCCATAAAAAGCCCCTAGTTAATCTAAAATGCTGCAACAAGAGTACCAAAAGGGACTATAAAAATATATATTAGCTTCTCGTCTTTAGCTCCCTGTTGGATTGAAAATCTTTTTCCTCACATATAAAGTCTTGTGTAATCTGGCCCCAATGTAACTCGAAGACCTCATACCATCATATTATCTCAACAGAGCACTTTGCTCACAGACTGCAGGCTTCGTTGTGTTTCCTAGAATTTCTAAAAGTAAAATGGTTTCAGAGCCTCTCTCCTGTGGAACCAGTTTGGATTCAGGAGACTATTAAGATTAGATTGAAAACTTTCATTTTTGATAACGCTTTCAGCTATGGGTGGATTCTGAATTATCCCTTAGTTATGCTGCAGTAGAACACCCATGATAAATATAATATAAAGCAGCTTTTGTGTATTCCTGCCTGAAACCAATAAAACAGTTTTATCTGTGTCCGTCCCATAAAGACTTCCAAGCAATAGAATCAGGGTGGAGCTTCACAAAAAATTACAATTTCATTTTCAAGCAAGTTTCAGCTGCTGTTACCTGCTCCATTGTAGCTTCATGCAACTCATTAAGATTCAGAGTATAAATGCCATCTTCTGTCCCAAAGATTAGGTACTGATCTAGAAGAGGGATTAAAAAAAAACCCCCATTGTGTTAGTAAAATAGCCGAAACCCTCTGTGTGTGGTATGCTCACTGCTCTTTGTGTACCTTTGGTGTCTGGATGGATCCATGACGTGGCACAGTTGATCTTCAATGGACAGCCATCAAACACTTTAGAGAAGCAGGCTCCCATCTGCAATGAAAAGCAGCACAGCTCAAAGCAGGCAGCCTCTTAAATGTCAGCCAGAGTTTAATGAGCTGAGCTGAACCACAAAGCAGAAAGCTCTGTGGACCCCAAATATCTACAGAATGTACAGTAGAAGCTCAGACGAGAGTTTAATAACAGTCTCAGTGAAAGCGGGACGGCGGGAACCGTGAAGGACAATACAAATGATTCACTCACCAGTACTTTAGGAGTGGGTGGCAGGCCGTTGATAGCTGGTTTCTAAGGAGGAGGGGAGGAAATGAAAACCATAAGATAATATAGATGCAAAAGACAGAACAATTATCCTAAACTTAGCTCCATAATTTTAAAACCAGCCTGAACAATAAGCAAAAGAACAAAATGCTTGTGTGAGTGTCCTGTCAAAGTCAATTAAATATGAAACATGAATGGATGCCAAGTTTCCCCCATTAACCAGCCACATTTGGATATAACAAAGGAAAAGCATCATATTTGAGGTTTCAGTTTGAGTTCAGTCAGCCAGCTGGAGGCACTGCATGTATCAAATGTATGCTGTATGTTGTAGTATCACATGACATTTTATCCTTAATCCAATGAGACTAAATGTAGCTATTATGTGTTACAATCAGAAACTATAAACTCACAGGGAATTCCTTTTTCTCCTTCCGGTTTTGCTCACTGGATGGTGGCTTGGGACTCCCTCCATTTACACTGCCATCTGAATCATTATCTGTAATGAAAAACCAGGCAGGTAAAATTACACTTACACAGTATTAATATCAGTTCACGCTGTCAAACAAGGAGGGTGTGAATCCAAAGATCAACCATGTTTACATCAGGCTCCCTTACCTTTAAGTTCAGATTTACTTGGAGCTTGCAAAAAAAATAAAACATTTCAGCGCTTATGAAGAAAAATGAAGAAGACAAAGTATGCAGACTCATACTGTGAATAAATCTGGATTTAGAAATAGACACAGATATGCTGAGACTCACCAGGATCCGAGGAGTGCGACAAAAGGCCGGGGCTACTGACGCTGGCTGACAGGAGGTCTGGAGATGAGTTCTCCACCTTGTTGCCCTGCTCAGGTGTGCTCTGTCTGCGAGCCACTTGGCTCGGTCCATTCTCCGAGTTAGGGAACCTCTTTACTGTCGCAGACCTCTCATCGTTAAGGCCCATTTCCTCTGATGAGGTGCTTGAAGTTGGCTGAGAAGAAACATAACACTACAACACATTTAATCTTTACTTAAACCTAAAAAAAATTACAGCAAAAGTAGACATCTTTAAATTTAGGTGTTACCTTTGGAGGCAGAGGAGGAGGAACGCCTGGCTTGATGGTTGATCTGAAATTGAACCATTTTTAGCAGTAAGGTGTAAACCAGCAGAACAAAAGGTCATGCATTCATGATAAAATTTAAATCTGATGGCATAACTCACCGCTCCGTATCATCAAAGGCATCTTCAAGATGGGCGACGTGTCCCCTATAGGACAAACACAGTAATGAGTAACGCGGAAAGTAAGACTCATTTGGGTTTAGGAGGAATGCAAATATTTATATGAAGTCCTATCTTTGAATGAGAACAATGAGGGGAAGATTCTGTTTTACTACAGACTTTAGATCACATTTGAGGTGACCTAAACCTACTGGGGACAATGCTATTATTATTATGACTATGACCACTACTATAAACTACCAGTTAAAAGTAGGTTTCAAAACAGCTTCAATGCAGTTGAGCCCAAAATGGTTAGGCTGACACTTCAGCACTTTTTCTCTTCACATAACAGCAGTACACACAGCTTAAATCTACAGTAATCGTCACACCACACATGGTGAATGAAGAGGAGGCAGAAAGGGAGGTGGGCGGACCACGCTGAAAAAATGGTTGTGGCGCAGCAAGGAGGGTGTGGATTGGATGGCGTAGCTTATTACAGCACATGCAGTGTTAGTGTTACCGTTGGAACAATTCATCCTCAACGCTTTTGAGAAGGCTCCTTCGAGGGACAAGACGAGAGCGACACAGACAGTCAAAAAGAGGACAGAGAGAAGGTGAAGGAGGAAAAAAAAACCCAAAAACAAACAAACAGTCAAAGCACATGGACATGTGAGAGGGAGCTTAAAGACCAAAGTGACATTTCAAAGTGCAAAAGGGGGGCAAGGGGAGTAGGGGAGTGAGCTCATGTACAGGCATAGGTTAGGTCCAGTGAGCAAGCATGTTAATATGAGACACAGTGAAGCAAATCTATATACACAGAGAATCAAGAATGAGTAGTTTCTTTAGGACTAACATGCTTTGACTGTCTCAAAGTAAAAAAACAAACAAAACAAACTCAGACGATGTGAAATCCAAACAACAACAAATCTTTAATTTGCCTTGAATTCCTCTGTCTGGTTAAGCCTCATGAGGCGCATTTATCTAAGACAAACCAGGTAGAGACTGAACGAGAACAACTGGGGGTAAATGGGAGCAGTTCCCATGACAACAGTTTCCATGGATCACCTGGTTGTTATTCCTCCTTCTGCAAAAGGACTCCAGGGGGAGAAGTCATTATCTTTGACATCCTGTGGAAAAGCATACATTCACAGAAATAGATATTTACATAGCTGCAGTTTTGTTAATCATCTGATATCTTTTTACTACACACACACACACACACACACACACACACACACACACACACACACACACACACACACACAAAACTCCAGAAAAACTCACACACACACACACACACACACACAAACTAAAATTAGTGTTAAACAGAAAATGATTTAAACAGAACATGATAATCACCGTTTCATAATGAGCCGCAGTTTCCTTCTGTACTGGTGCTTTAAACTGGAGCTTGTCAACTGTAAAAAACAGAGATGGTGTTTCTTTTCTTTTCTCCCTTTCTTTGCGCACATCTTTGACACTAGAGGGCATCAGCATCCAACACTTCAACACACACAAAGCACTGGAGTTATCAACATTGGGCATTAGTACCAGAAAACTTGGGAAAAAATTCCTTCCCAACCTAAAAACAGGTGTAAGAACAAACCCAAAGCAGATCATCTGCTTCCACAACAGTTAACCTGCCAAAACACTACAGAGATCCCTCACTGATTTACGATGTTACGACTTGAATGTTTGGTCTGTAGCTTCGAGACGAGTTGCTCACTAAAGACAGACACAGGTTAAACTTGACGCTGACCAGACCTGTTCCCTTTGGGGAAATATTAGTGTGAGGAAACATGAATTACAGATACATCACAGGACAGATTCTTCAGCAGTTTAGACTTCAGGTTGCGTTCTGTCAAACAGTTGATCCAATAAGGGTGTCTGGTTTGCTGTCCAGTATAAATACGACATGATTCGGCTGTAATTATGAAGGTGAAAGAAATCAGCCCACATAATCACCTTCGCATTAACAAAGACGCGTTGTATTATAGAATTCAGACCACAGATCCCTCCCCACCTCCCCTTTCCCATGTTTTTCTTCTCAACATATCCAGATAGTGTGGAGGTTGGGAGGTAAGAAAAACAATAAAAAAGTTTAAAGAATTGAAGCCGAGTGATCAGGTGAGTCTTACGAGGCAAGCTTTGCTTTCTTGTCAGGGTAAGATTAGTCATTTAAATGCAATTTCAAGTCAGTCAGCCTAACAGGAACCAAGATGTCACAATATCCAAATTATTCAGCCTTACAAAAAAGCTGAAGTTACATTAGGTAGCCACTCCATGCAGACAAAATCGCCTTATTAGTACCATGTAAATGTCAAACCGAGTGTTCCATTTCTACAACATTATCATATTTCTAATGAAATCTTAGGGGTGAGGGTTGGAATTAGACAAACACACACTGTCTCACTACTCTCACACTGACCTGCATCCACCCTGTGTCCCTCAGTGAAGCTAGGACTTGAGGGTGGCTCTCTTTGGTCTGTTCCATTGTTTGCTTCATGGTGGAGGGAAGGTCATATAACAGTGAGAAATTTAGATAAAAGAAACCAGACAAGAAGTACATCTGATACAAGCGATCACAGCACAGACGAGCACAAAACACATTGCAGCATGGTATAAATACCACACCTATCTCAACGCCAGGCAGCTGTTAGGTCATTCTAAAATGATGAAATGAAGAAATGGCCACAAACTACTGACACAACAGGCACAACACTGCATTTGGCTTTATCTATCACAACTAACGGCGACACAAAAAAAAACAACAAAAAAAAACAAAAAAAAAAAAACACAGCTTCCCTGAAGGGGCAGGGGGCAAGATGTAGAACTGTGACAACTGGACCCATCGCCAAATTCTTGAAAACAATTTCTGGCTAAAAACGTGAGATTTTTAGGAAAACTCAGAGACCCTTCAGACAAGCTATTTTGCAGGATTCCTTGAGCAACAGATGAGACAACACTTAACATGTAAAAATAGCACAAGCGACTTTACTTTCTCTTCCATGAATCCACAGACTTTTTTTTTTTTAGACACGCCAAAACATGCTGTGGCCTGGAAAGGTGCCAGCCTCTGCTGCAGGATTAAAGGAATGACCCTTGGTGATGCCACCAGACCTAGATCAACCTAACCACTCACAACAGCTAACACGCAAACCAACGACAGGACAGAAGCACAGCGAGCGATTGCGGAGAGGGGCTGGCCTTAATGATCCATTTAGCTTTGATGTTCACTTACAGTCGATCTCTGAGCGCGTCCTCTCAGCTCTGGCATGCTTGTTGGTGGAGCGGATGGTGTGTCTGACTTCGCTGTTTCCCTGAAACTGATGGTGAAAGACAGAATTTTTATTGAGGGAGCAGCACTTCAGAAGACAGTAAAATGTTAGGAGCTTATATAATATTCAGTGTGTAATTATTAGTTATCTTTTTAGATTATCTGCAAAATTTGAGTTAAGGTTAGCTAAAGCTGAGCTGAGACCAGCTTTTCTGGAGCACGGTCACATTATTATGCATCCCAGTGGCTGTTTGTTTGCAACAAGCTCTATTGCTTGCAGTCAATAGCCTTTAGAGTTTTTTCACTCATCGTGGCCAAGACAGTGCTACTGCTGTCAGTGGGAGAAAAGCACAATGGTCCTTTAAAAAGCGCTGGTACCACCTCTTTGGCTGCCACATAGATGTGATGTTGAATCCAGTCGGAATAATAATGTCATTGGAGAGAATCAGGAAGAGGGGGAAGGGAAGTTTTAGGGGAACATGAAAGACCTGAAAGAAGCTCGCTGGTTATAGTTCACCGCTGAAAACATGTCACACATTCTAATATTTACATTCACTGATAAGAATCTGTCGTGTAGCTCAAACAGCAAGTGATAGTTTAACGTACTTCTTTAAATCAGTTATTTGCAACAAGTTCAAACATGTTCAAACAAACATGTACCAAGAACTGCATTACAGGTTTAATATTTTCAGGGTATAAATAAAAGTTGTGTGTTTATATTTCTGATTACTAGCTTGTTGACTGGGTTGGCTTTGATTTTCTTAGAAAATCTCCTAACAACACACATTTCTATATATGATTTGGAGTCAGTTATTACCTCAAGGTCATCCTCATCCATTTCTCCAAAATTCTGGTGGTTGTCCGGGTTGTTCATCTTATCAATAAGCTCTGTGGCAAGTCTCCTCGTCAAACCCGTCTGAGCCATAAACACATGCTGGGAGAAACACTAAAGAGTTAGAGATCTTTACCAGGATCATAACAGGAAAACAGCTGTTTGTGTTAGACACCTGACACTAATTTGACACATAAGAGTCATAAAGGTATAGAAGCAAAGAATTTAGATTCATGTGGGGTGGATGAAAAGGAAAGCACACTCTCTGTCAGTTCAAAGATTTTTTACAAATCATGACCTTATCAGGTCTTAAATTTAGGGAAATACTACCCGAGTTGTTAAATAATGACATCATCTGAGGTTGTATTTACCTAATTTTAAGACATGCAAAGAACCCCATTTCTTTTATTATGTCCTGATGCATAAAACTTTTGTATTTAAAGAGGGTGTACTTTCTTTTCAGATTGCAGATTGTAGGTAGTGTTCTACCCCAAAAGCTTGTTACAGATCACCAACTCCTAGCTATAAGGATAAATCATCACATTCCAGGACTTCTGGGATGCAACTATCCTCAGAGATACATGCTATACTAATGAGACGAGAATACACTATGCTTTAAAATTAGAAACAGGTGCTAACTGAACTCTGGCTCCCATCCTAAAGAGCTGAAACTAAGATAAGCTTTAATAAATACGAAACACTGAAAACAGTTCAAGGCCAGAGTCTGACGGCAAGCCAAACACTGAGAACGTCAGCCAAACCACACAGAAGCTGAGGAGGCCAGCTGGGGTTCATAAGGCTCTGCTGAATTTGGACAGAATGACAACTTCTATTTGTTTGTCAGGTGTTTTAGATTTGCAAAGGAACATAGGCCAACAAGCAAAAGAAAAAAAGAAGACGAAGAAGACACTGCAAAAAACAACAGACTCTCCGAAAACATTCACATTTTTTAAACATCAGCGCTCATACTGCACTATATTTTTTTTATTTTGAACATTTCAACCACGCATGGAAAACCAGAGTAATATTTATTACCCCTAGAATTTTTTCTGCAGTGGGCCGCTTCTTTGGGCTCTTTGTTAAACACACTTTCACAAAGTTATGGAAGGCAGGAGACCTGTTGGATAAGATAAGTTTGTTTAAAACAACGATTATTCATATTATCTAAGAGCAAGGTATAAAGGTATAAATTATATCGCAATCCAACAATAGCATTGTGATTACTTTGGAACACTCACCATTTGCTCTTATCTTTTAGCTTCGGAGGCTGGAAGCTACTCTTCGACATCAAAAACAAGGCCCTACAGCAGATAAAGGAATGAGGATTTAATGACGCCAAGGAGGAAAATGTATTAATATATTATGTAAGGGAGCTCTAACTGATCATTTATGGGGAGGAAGTAAAACATACCTCATTGGATGCAAGTCAAACATCGGAGGCTGGAGCTCAGCCAACTCTATGGCTGTGATGCCAACAGCCCAGACGTCACACAGCTGGTTGTAGCCCCCGTTCTTCTCCACTGCAGCTACTTCAGGAGCCATCCTAAAGAAAGTGAGGACAGAGATTTAGCAGTGGCTCATTTGTTAGAATAAAAAGCAGAAGTCAGCTTTAGTGAAAGAGCAGAGGCCTGAATGTACCAGGGTCTACACATCTATAGCGTGTGACATTGAACTTTCATCTAGAAAATGGTGAAAAATATTCTAGGATGGAGCTGAAAAGGCTTAGAGTCTTTCACCAGCGCTCTTTAACCAAACTAACAAAAGCTGTCAAGGGCCTAGAGGCCTGTTTTACACAGATGACACACTCACCAATAAGGTGTTCCGATAAAGGACTTTCTTTTGGCAATGGTGGCTGTTATTTTGGCTGCAACTCCAAAGTCAGCTGTAAGAAGGATAACAGGGCTTTTCAGATTATGTAATGCACATACAGCTAAAGGCTGTTCAGGAGTTCAGGTTCTTAAGAATTAAGATGCTGAAGAGGAACTTACCCAACTTCACGTCTCCGTTGTCTGTCAGCAGTATGTTGGCACCCTGTAAAGAGTAAACATTTGATTTATGCTGAGAAAATCCATTTAAAAAACATACAACAAGAATTTATTAACATTAGAATGAAGCTTGATTCTCATGTAAAACAACGTTTCAAAAATGTACATTAGATTCAAACAGTTGTATCTATTATGGATCTCAATATGATCACTTCAGGCACACACTGTACTGCTGTGAGCACAGGAGCTCCGCCCACCTGCTCCTCAAACCTTCTGTTTGCGAGGGGGAGCCAATCAGAAAAAGTTGGCTTAAAGAGTGTTTCAGAGATTGAACTGAAGAGCTATATCAAAGCAGATAAGGATCATCTTATAATGTTAATGACGTAAAGTCGCTCAAGCAGAGTCTAAAAAGATAAATACAGGGCCAGAAATAACCACAATAACAGCTTTATATGTGTAAAGATTTCTCAGCAACACCCGGCATGTTACTATCCTGGCGTCTCGTAAACTTGGAGTAGTATCACAGCCTTTAATAGTTTCACTAATATTGTTTCTGCTGGCTGTGACTGACGGTGTCTCTGGTGGCATCCTGCGGTGAGAGTAGAGGAAACAGGAAGTGCTTGCTGCATAGAGCTGAAAAAGATAATAGATCCAGCCCTGACCTTTATGATAACACATGAGAGCGAAGTTCCAGGCTTTAGTGCATGCATCGAGCAAAGTTAACTTCAGCTCAAAAGTGCAAAAGTAGCATCAGTCACATGCTTCCGAGCAAGCACACCCAGTTATGCTTTTCCTGTGACTTTGGTTTTACACCTCTGCTGCCATGTCCGACCTCTGCCCCATTTTGAGGGCCACCAATGCATTCATGCTGACATTAATAGTACTGAAACTGCTACTTGTGCTGCTGCTGCTTTTTCTTGAGATGTTCTGAAATTTACTGCTGAAAGTATCATCAGACGGTCGGTGTTTGTATGTGATGTATTACAACAGCCACGATAAGGAGACAAAATTCACATTCAAAGAAAATGAAATAAAAACCAATTGTACCTTGATATCGCGGTGCATCTTCCCCTTAATGTGGAGATATCCCAAACCCTGTAAAGGAAGGCACAGCATTACGTAATGACCACATTTGAAACCACAAACTCTGTAACGTTTCCTCAAAATATTCCAAGTAAAATTACCTGTAAGGTCTCTCTGCAGACGTATGCTATTTGAAGCTCTGACAGAGGTCCAGTCACTATTACACACATTCATTCAATGTTAGTAGGGCTGAAGACAGAGATGGCACAAGGTGCATAGCAATAAAACGTAGTTCATGTCTGCACCTTGCCATGTATGAATAAAACTAAAGCTCACCATGATAGATGTCCTGCAGAGATCCTCCCCCGCAGTACTCCATGCATATCCAAAGTTTCTCTCGACTAGAAAAAAAAAAAGCAGAATTAAGAACATTTTAACCACTTATGCAGTCACAAAATACACCAGAGCAAACAAACATTTTGAGAAGCTGCGAAGCTTGTTTTAGAAAAAATAAAATAAAATTGCTCCCTGATAAAAAACAACTAAGAATAAGAGGTGTAAGAGTTCTGAAACTGGAAATGAATCCTCCATAGAAAGTTTCTTCCTGTTTCACATGAAAGCTGAACGTCTAAAAAGCCTTCAGGTAAAGCGTGTGCTGAAAATACAACAAGCGATCGCTGCTGTGGTGAGAAGTTTTCTCTCAGCGTTGTTGTTCACACGCTACACCCTAAAAAACATATAAAAACAGACCGAAAACAGTAACAAGGCCTTATAATTTAGAGAATGGTTGCAGTCCTAATAAAAACGACACGTGAACCAGTAGAGGGGTTGCTCACTGTCACCTTGTTTCACTCAACATTTAGGTGGTCATGGAAACCATTTCAGGTAACTAAAGGGGTCAACAGGAAACTTAAAATTTCCCCAGATAAACAGGGGTTCCTTTGATTAAATTAAGGTAGTTTTATAATAATTAATGCACAGTTCATTGCTCATTAACGCTTTACTGTATCCAGTTGAGCTCTGTGTGGCAACGCCACATAAGACATGCCTGCTGAGATAAGACATACAGCTCTCTGCACGAACAGCCAAATAAAATAGTTCAGAGGCTTTTATTCCATTTAAACCTGCTGGAAGTCTAAGGAAGATGTGGGCGGAACCGGGCCAACTTCCTCTGAAATACCAGCCACAAATCATGGACTCCATTAAAACAGAAGAATAGCATCCTGGCACCGAAGGGCCTAGTCAGCACCCGTCTGCCCAGTTGAAGAGTCTGAGTCATACTTTCACACACACAGGTTTACTAAGTAATTAAATACATCATGTGAGTTTCAGGCAGTGGCTTGTTAAATCCTTTTGACAGTTACATATGAATTCCACAAATGTTATGCACTCGACTGGCTGTGAGAGTGAGGAAAAAAAGAAAACAAACTGTGAGGGTAAAATGACTACGCAGGAGCATTTTGTGCTGGCTCTTACCAGAGGTAGCTCCCAAAGTAGGCCACAATATTGTGGTGCTTGCATTCCTTCACCATGAAGATTTCCTGCTGTATGATGGAAAAGTCATCCCCTGGAAACAGAGAGAGAAATCACAGACACACGGACCAAAAAAAAAGTGTTTATTTCATTTTCTGCCCTGCTTTGTTTTAAAATGAAAAATTACTGCAGTCTTAAAATAAAAAACATTTAGTTTAAAAGATCATGTAAAAACCCTCAGAGGTAGTATGTTTTTTGGGCACTAAAGTCTGTTGACACAAACGACCACACAAGCATCCAGCGTGTGACAATGCTTGCATCTTCCTTAAACTTTAGGCTTTAAAAAGGCAAAAAAACAACCCTAAATCTTCTCTTTGTTATCTTTTCAGTTCAGTAAACAAAAAGTCTTCCCATGTTTGCCAAGGTTTCACCATATTTTATCCCTGTGTAAATACAGCAGGATACAGAACACTCAATGACATTAGAGGTTTTAAAGTTTATGTGGTATAGGTCATTATCAAAGCAGCATTCCAGCTCAGCAAAGATCACCACCACATTTAACCAGTAGGAAGCAAAAAGACAAAAATATGTAAGCTCAGCTGTCCCAGTTGTGTATAGAAAGACAGCCCTGGAATACATTAACAGCTGGTTAAGATCAACTACACTCTATGACTGTCATCACAGGCAATGCTTTAAGCTTAAGTTCATATATAAATGTCTTTGGTTCCGCGATCAATCATCCAGGTAAGGAAATGAAGAAGTACTCAAACTGATGAAGCTTTTCTCCCAGTGAAACGCTACGTGCAGATGAACAAAATCCACTTTCTTTGATTCACACATAAATATACTCTCTGCTTAAATAAATAGTAGGTTGCACATCATTGGTAGTGACAGGAAATTACTGAAAACAAACTTATTTCCTTTCCAGGCTGTGGTCAAACCTGTGAATTCTTGTAACTGAGGTGGTATGTGAACAGACCTCTTTTTTTGCTTCTGTTATACAATCATCAGAGTAAATTAAACTGAGCTACATTACACAACAATACTGTGCTTCAGACACCAAACCAGGTGGTTTGGGGTCAGCTTTTCTGATACAGGGCTAGTTATACTCAGAAAGAAAGCATGATCAGCAGAAAAACTTCCTGAAGCACAGCGGCTCGTTATTGTGCACAAACACTTTGCAAGCAACTAGGCAACTTGCGTACAGCCAACCTGTTTTCAGTGTGTCTGGGACAGTTTAGGCTTTTTCACGTGCCTGGAATGCAAACACGAGTCAAACTATTTAAACAATACACGAGTCATGTCTTAAAATAAACCAAACACTATCTATATGCCTTTGATTTTCCTACATATAACTCAGTATAGCAGAAAGCACACATTTCCGTGCGTCACATTATTTTAAGTGACACAGAAGGAGACTTTTTTCCCGAAAACTCATTCAGTCACCAAGGTGGCATGTCAGACATTCTGCTTACAGCTTTTAAATAGCTGAAATGTCAAAGAAAAGTTTACCAGAAGGAAGACGTATTGCAAAAGTCGAATACACCTCCAACTGCTTTTTACACGCACGCTGGGATATTCCTGTTAATGTGCCTTTAAAAAGCTTTAATCAGATTCACAATTAAATCTACTTGGTAAAGTCTCTTTTTCATTTACTCAACACACTGCCATAGTTTTTACTTCTGTACTTTTTGTTACACATTCAACATGTGCAATGATGACGATTGAATTACTCGGTGCTCAATATGGTCAAGAGAAGCCTCAACAGGAGGAAGTGGAGCATTGGCGTAATTCTGCTTGACTCCCTCCACTCCATTTGTTAAATGTCCTATAGATAAGAGGCTATAATAAGAATATGAGTAATGCCTCACACTCACCGGACCTTGTGAAAGCAACTGCTTGACAGCTTTGACGCAAAGCTCCAATTTTTTTCATGGAATCCTACATGAAGCCTCACCTTGGCGAACAGGGTTATAACTATGTCATACCACATGTGTACAGGGAGAACTAGTGTGGATCACAAACAATCTTAAATATATCTGTTGACTGACAGCAAAGGGTTTGAAGAGCCACAAAAATTTGAGCAGGAGTAATTTTAGTGAGTGAGCTTAGTACAGAAAACAAAATACATAACAAGTCACCCCACAATCTTCTCTTCTTGGTGAGCAGAGGCCTAAGAGTTTAGCCACTTCCTCCCAGATCGAGCGCTTCCCCCTGCTCTGAATATACACTATGCCTCTCATCGTGTCAAGTTTCATTTCAGTATGTAGGACTTTTGTCGAAACCTGTTACCGATAATCTCAGAAATAAAGTCCTTTTTTAATTTAAAAACATATCTGACGGTAGAAGAAGATGGCTTTATTTTAACTGACTGCTAACTGGAACCATCCAAAGATGAGAAACAAGATTAGGAAACATTAAAAGTTACTGTTTATGTGTTGAAATTTAAAAAAAAGAAAGTAAAATTTAAAAAAAGGTAAGTCTGGTGACATAGTTCTGAGAATCTCTAGTGGAAACTGCTGGGAGGTTTTTGCAAACACACAGAACTTAAAAACTACAGAGTCACAAGACGACCAGACTAATGATGAAGTGATTATGAGTTTGTACCGAAAAAAGAAAAACAAAGAAATGTCCTTCTCCATTTGTCATTAATGCTCACACAGTGACAACCCACACCAATTTGGTTCAGTGGTTATTTTTCTTTTAATGCTGCAGTCAAAAGCCCCACAGTCTCACCGCCAGAAGGTTTTACCACTCCTAACTCTTTTTCTGTCCCGTATTTTCTTACGGGCGTCACTCCTGGTTAAACTTGTTTGATTGCACGGTCCACCCAAAGCTGTTTACCTCGAGCACAGAAAGGAGGGCCTCTTGCGAAAGATTAGGTAAAGAAAGGAGTCCTTCTTTGACCAAAGCTGGGTCAAAAAAAAGAAAAGAAAAGAAAGGAACTCTGAACACAGGTTTAGATCATCTTGATAATCTATTGAGTTAACCTGTAACAATTTTTGCTTTAAAGCCTTTGCAGTCCAACCTTCTCACTTCATCTGATATTTTCTGATCATTCCTATATAACCTGTCAAGTCTGCACAAGTCATATCGACCATTTTGCACAGTCCATCATAAAAACAAGAAACGTTCCTCCCTCGCCAAGTCTGTCTTTTGGCATGCAGCTCACTTTCCTAATTTTTTTTTAACAGGTTAAGCGTGACAAGAAAGATGAGAAATGTTTCTTTGCATCTGTTTACGACCAGCCTGCCAATTAAAAAAAAAACAACTCTATCTTGAGCAGTCAAAACATGTGATGCACGTTTTTATAACTGCCTTTCCTTCAACTTAATCAACAAGAACCTTCATCAGAAAAAAAAATCAAACAAAGAAAATACGTTGCGGCTCAACTGCATTACATAACAAGATGGGACATGTTTTGGCCCTCAACCAGCTTCAGCTTTCTGAAATTTGTAGTTGAAATATTCAGCTTGTGGTCTCCATCAGACAAATTTAGCACCATTGATCTCAGTCATTGTCATAAGCCGAGGCCACCAAGTCAGGATAAATTCATACTTTTATGCTCTGTCCTGCAGGAATCCATACTACCGCACAATAATATATAGAATAATAATAATATATATCAAGTTCATGGATCAAACATTTAAACATTTGACAAGAAGAACAAGTGTAAACACTGATTAGTGATCCTATGATTCTTCATTGACCCAGACATGTGATGAATGAAAGAAAAGCATAAACAGGAGTGAATGTCCTCCTTCGCTGTTAATCAGCTGAGCTCTGTCTGGTCGCTGGTGGTACAAAGCCCTCTCCGTAATCCCACTAATCTGGATCGTGCTAACTCTGTCACTAGGTCATTACCAGCATAAACCCCAAAGTGGAACCAGTCTTTCTGTTCCTTGTACACAAAACCACACATCATACTCCTGCTGGGAAATGAGATTTATTTTTCACTGTTTAGATATTTGCCTTTTCTTGATAAATATTATATAAAATCTTCAGTTTACATGAGAAGTCCAGTTTTGTTGCAGTAAAAAAAAATTTTTTTTACAGTTATTTGAGGGGAGTTTTTTTCTGTAAAATGCTAAAAAGCTGTGTGTTTTCTTTTCACTGCGATGAGATAATGAAATAAAGGTAACAGCTCTTACCTGGTTCCAACTTTATGACCTTCACAGCAGCAAGCTCTCCGGTTTGTATGTTTCGAGCCTGAAAAACACAATAACACAATTTTAACTGAGGCTTTAACTGTAGGTTGCTCACCGCCTGTTAACTGTATTGACTGAAACACTGACTATAGAGACCAAATAAACTTGAACACAAAAGTCAATAAAGAAAAGAAGTTGTGGCCAACCAGCATTATAAATTAGCCACCAGGGAAAGGCCGGACACCGTCTGTGACTTATGAATAAATGTCTGAATGTCTGCATATTTTAGTCATTCCTCAGTTAATTTTTTGTTTCTTCCCTGAATCACTTCATAATGCCGACAAGCATGTTTGTATTTCATAGATTTTACAAAGCATCCATCATGTGTAAACGTCCTGTGCTACAGCAGGTTTCACTGAAGTCCAAATCCAGGTCAAGACGGGATGCTGCCTAATCCGAGAGTGAAATGTCTGGACGAGCGGCTAAATCAGCCATAAACCACAAAACCCAGCAGCCTGGGCATCTTTCAGTAGTGGAATGTGGTGGTGATTCACACATGTAAACAGCAACCCAAACAAAGCTTTAAACTGTTTAAAATGCAGCTGCGTGCACACAAACATAAAGACATTTAAGAAAACAGAACAATTTTTTCCTACTGTGCAGATATTACGAGAGCATGTGACTGTTCTGCTTTAAACTCAAGTGTGTTTAGTATTTGTGTTGAACCTCTGTTTGTTACTTCCTGAAGCAGAGGTAACCAACCTAAGAAATAAGCCACTAAAGGGGGGAGTTTTCATTATAATACCCACATACGAGATGAAGCAGAGAATATGTAGCATGTGACACTGTTTCTCATTTCCATTAGGATTCTTTCCATCTCTCTCTCACGTCTCTGGTCTCATGTTTGCGCAAATTCAGGGTAATTACAGTGAGGCTGATTCCTTCAAACTGAACATATACATAGAACAAAGTGAGTAAACATCATAAGTGTGAAAGACCTGGCACTTTTCACAACTCAAAATACCTCCAGGTACCCCATTATTTTGGGAAAACAAAACTTTTCTAGCATTTTTTTTTTAAGTCAAATTTGATTGTTGAGCCTATAAGTGCAGTTTTAATGCCCTTGTGACAATCAAAATATAAGTAATTTAGATAAGGCTGTAAAATAGCTGGTCAAATAATGGATGTGTAACTAAGATGGCTGCTGAGTGGTGAGACTAGCTTCTAGAATGATTTTACTACAAGTGACTGACTATTTACAGTATCCCTTAGTTCCCTCTTTGTCCCTCAACACTTAACTTTGATGCAAATATTTTCAAAGCCATCGATACTCCATTCATCTACTGGCCTTCCAAGATTGGTTTTTCCCTTTCTAATTGTGTTATATGACAGGAAATTGACCAGAAAAAGATTCACAACCTGGGGAATTACTCTACACCTAAAGAAAACCAAAATAACCTCCACAGAGATGCCATGAAATTGTTAAACCAATATATTCACATGTAGTAAACATTCAAAGGTGAGGAATGCCATGCTGAGGACTTTTCCCAAATCTAAAGGCGCTTTCTCTGTCAAAGGGCAGAACACACCCATAGTGAAACGCATGTTTAGACAGGGGCCTGATCATATTTCAACTCACTGCAGCTCTGAGCCTGTGAGCTCCGGGAGAATACCAGGCGCAGCATACCACCGGTGGCCTGTCTGGGGGTGGAGGGTGGGCTGGCTCGCTGGCCAGGAAGGCTTTGTATGGAGGGAGGCCATGTGAGCCCGGCTGAACCATCACGTCTACATCAGATGGTTCGTCTGTTTGTGTGCGACAGATGGATAAACAAGAAAATTCTCCAGCAAAACGCACCTCGCCGCAGCCAGACAAACAGTGGGAAACATCTGGCAGTTAGTCGGCTATACCCAGCAAATTAATAACACATACGCAAAACAGCATTGGCTTGAAACAAATACATCAACGCACTAATATAATCATTCGATTTTCTATGGGGATTCTCCAGATGTTTGAGGTTCACAACAATCTGACAAAGAAAAGGAGCAAATCCTCATAAATGTGCAGCTGGAACAAGTAAAGCTTTGCCATTTTTCAAGAAGAACATGGTAACAAATCACCCGAACAGTCAATTACTCTCTCTCTACTGTTTCTTACTTTGGACCTCTGGTTTTAACTGCAATAAAAGACTGTAGACTCAAGACTATTTGCCCAGTTTTTCCACAAAAAAAGGAAAAACCCCAAAAAGAAAAACTTACGAAACTAGACTGTCTCACAAAAAGCTGCAAAATAAATATAGCACATATGCAAGTGAGAAAAAGGAACCAAATAATCATATGTTATTGCTGACAGTCTTTCTATATCCATGTCCAAAAACTAAACACAAATTTGACAGCTGAACTCTTATTCTGAAAAGTTATGCATCACACAATGTACTCTAACTGACCACTTTATTAGGTACGTCCTTGTACTGTCCTGGAGCCACTTTCGCTTTCAGAACTGCTTTAAATCTTCACAGCACAGATTCAACAAGGTGCTCAAAACATTCCTTTGGCCCATATTAACAGATAGTATCACACAGTTGCTGCACATTTGTCACGTGCACATCCATGATGTGAATCTCCTGTTCCACCGCATTTCAAAGAACAATAGAATAGAATAGAAATATCCTTTATGGACCCTGACTGGGGGAAACTGTAGTCTTCCAGCAGCAAAGTGCAGGCAGATGGAAAATGCAAATAAAAAATAAGAAATAAGAGACTGTACACTAAGTAAGGGCAATTTACAACATAAGCTGGTGTAGCCCATCTGGTTCAAGGTTAGACATGTTAAGCATTCAGAGATGCTCTTCTGTATACTTCTGTATAACGAGGTATGCTGAACGAGTGGTTATTTGAGTTACTCTTGCCCTTCTATTAGCCTAAAGCATTTTGGCCATTCTCTTCTGATATCTGGGATCAACTAGGCATTTTCCCCTGCTGCTCACTAGACACTTTTTGTCTTTTTCAAATATTATCTGTAAAGCCAACCAATGATAGTGTGGTGGAAAATCCCAGTAGATAAAGAGTTTCAGAAATACTCAGACTATCCATCTGACACCAACAACCACATTCAAAGTCACTTAAATCACCTTTCTTTCTTCCTCATTCTGATGTTCAAATTGAACTTCAGCAGGCCATCTTGACCATGTCCACATGCCTATCCGTTGAGTTACTCCCATGTGACTCTCTAATGACATATTCAGTTAGCAAGCAGCTAAACAGGTGTACCTATTGAAGTAAGTGGTGAATGTATTTCTGATGTATGTTGCATTGTCTCCACCAAAAGTGGTAGAGCAAACTAACAAGAAGATACAAGCAACGACCTGAGCACAACAGTCAAACTGGTTTAGCAACACTGCCTCCACAAGCAGGAAAATACAGGTAAAAAACTGATCCAACCAATAAAATAAGATGACAAAGTAAAGAACAGTAAGCGCCACCATATGCAATGTTTGGCGCATGAATGGATGCACAACCTGGCTCTCACTCAAAAGCTCCTGTCAATGTGTTTGCCACATGTTATCATGGCTTACAAAGCAAACACCACTCTGGCTTAAATTACAGCGACAGCCTGATTAGTCATGATGTGGTGGGTTATGTTATCTCTAGCTCTAATGACAGACTGTGGGAACATCACTGTACCTTATACACGTCTCCATATGTGCCACTTCCAACCCTCTGAATGAGTTCAAAGTCATGCTGAGGGTTCCTCCTTTGGATTTCATTGCTTGGCCGGGTAAAGATATCCATGGTAACTTGACCCAGAGATGCCTTTACATTTATTTGGACTGACCAACGGTGGTGTCGATGATCTGATGCAACAATGGTTTTGAGTCAGTGTTACTCAGACTGCCCGTCCCTGTTGTCCATGTCCTGAAAGGTGGAAAGTTTTTTGGGGAAAAGTGCACAAAAGAAAAACAGCGAGTATTAATCTCTAGTAATAACCCTGGACGAGCTTAGCTTTGACATCTGTCACGCAAGTACTAATTAATTTACCGCCAACTACTCCTCAAAAGTAATAAAGAGACAAGCATTTAAAAGCAGTGACCATTATAACGGCATTAACATGCAGGTTGTGGTCATTCCAGCAATTAGCCAGAGCCAGTGAGAGGCTTAGCATCCGGGCGGGTCAGCTAACGCTAGCTAACTGGCTAAAGTTAGCTTTTCGACTGGCTCTAACTTCAACAGTGTATACCTTCAACAACACAAACACGGCGGGAGCATGTCTTGAACTCCGAATCGTTTTCAGGCTTTTAACTGTGCGATGGCGTCGAATAGTTATCCAAAAAAACAAAGGCGGTCCCCCTCTTTTGTTATCGAGGGAACAGTAGTAAACTTCACTCGCTTGCTGGTCCTGCTGCTGCTGCTGCTGCTGCAGTTCACTCCTTCAGAGAAAAAGCGACAGGGTCGACTTCAAATCCCCGCAAGCCAGCGTTAAGTTTTGCCGTTGCCATGTCATTTCCCTCGGCTGACAGTTTTAGATTAGCCTCGGGCTCATGGGTAGAATACTAACGTTAGACTACATAAACAATAAACTGTTGGATTTACTGAAATAACACGCTCCCTTAAAAGCAACAGTGTGTTACTAATCTTTGTGGAGTCGCAGTTATTGGACGCTGCTGCATTCGAGTGCATCACGGAAAATAATCTAACCACAATCACGTATTTATTACATCGTTAATAATATAACAAAAATATTCGATTTGTAATAAAGAAATAAAAATATAAAGGGCATTCAAAGCACATGAAATGTATCTAGACGTCTCATTTTTAAAATAGTACCTTTTCTTTATTATCTATTCAAACCAAATTTTGATTTATGGGCTCGTTTTTGATGTAGTTATGGTTTAGTATCTCAGCATATCTTTTCAAAAAAAAGTTGGATGAATAAAATTTATGTTGAGATGTAATTATGACCCCTTAAAGTTATCATTTGCAGGTATTACTGTATTTGAAAATGCTTTACAAGCATAATTTCATGCCACAAAATACAATCAGGAATAATAAAAATATTCAAAATAAGAGAATATCTTTATTTTTCAAAGGGTTGGTGGGAAAAGGTCTGAATTTTTTTGATGTATGATTATAGTAATATTTTAGGTTATTCTTTTCTTTTTTTTTTTAAATACAATTTAAGTGAAATAATTATCTGATATCAATAGGTCTAAAACCAGATATCTGTAATTTCCTTTATTACCCAACATGAAAGTGGTTTATTTTAAGGCAATAATATTTATCCATGTGTTAGAATATGATATGGGTAATTGTTTTAAGGAGTTGATGTTTTCTTTTCATAAAGTTACAGTTCAGTTCAACGTATAGTAACAGTTCAATAAAGAGGGGAATTTGTATTTATTTATTTATTGAATGTAGTATTTTAACAACATACTGACTACTGCTTTACCCATTTGGAATTTACATTTTTACAAAAGCGCACATGAAGGGGGCATACCTTTCAACCTCTGTGTAATTACCGCCACCTGCCGGTAGAAGCTAAAATTTCAAGTGAAGGCAGCGACAAAGAAATGCGTTTCTGGTCGCACTTTCAAGCACATAATCGTTAATCATTCTTTTCTGTAGACATTACAATATAAGCTGAACTGCAGCTGTCGTCCCATGCCTCAAGCTGCTGCTTTAGAACTGCGCCCCCTAGCGAGATACAGCATGGCTGCATCGCATTGAGGATAAAAGCTCCATCATCCTCCTGCAAGACGAGCATCGTTTTGGTGGAGCCAGGGCATTCTCCCAGCCCACGATATACACTCATGACTACCGACTAGGGTCGCTCAGTAACCCACAATCAAAGGGATATAAGGACAGTATTATGGCGAAACACCGTCCAGAAAGAGACAGCTGGGGTGAGTGTACGTACAGTATTTCATATTTCATTGCTTTTCTTGACGGCACAAACCGTTTTTTATCCTCCCTGCCGAGGAGGAGAGGGTGTAAGCCAGTAAGATGTTTATCTTAGACTCCATGATGAAAGGCTTGGTTACGTTTTGACCGTATCATGACCAGTGTTTATTTATTTGAATGCAGCAATACATGACGCCATTTATCGTGAGAAATACGTGCTTTTGTGAGTCTCTGCAGGAATATTGTCTAATCAGGCATAAGCAAGCACAGACCTGTATTTCTAAGACATATTATATTTTTATTCAGTGATCAGCGCGTAGGGAAATGTCTGTTAGTGCTCTCTGGACCTCCCTAAGAGGCCTGAAAACCAGCTTCTGGTGTATTTTGTTTATCACAGTGAGCTTCTCGTGATTGTACGTGGTGCATCTGGCATACAATTATGTAATATTGCATCAGAAGATAGCCTCTCATCATCCTCAGGACCACCATCTGCACCCTGACCGTTAATGCCATCATCACTGTTGGTGATTGTCACTGACATCACGCTATGCTCTGTGTTAACTATAAATTCAGACCTGCAAGGGGAAGGAAGGGGCTGAATGACTGCATTAGGAGTGAGGGGGGAAAGGGTGAAATGCTGCTGTTTGTCATCAGAGAGTTTATCTGGGCTGACCCACTTTGAGCAGACCGCTTCTGACGTCTTTGGCTGTTTTAAGAGCAACAGCAGCAGCAGAGGAACACGATCAGGTTAACCAGGCAGGCTCATGATGCCAGGCCTGGTTGAAGAGGCCATTGCAAGAGATGTGAATCCACCCCGATAGTCCCCTTCAAGCCTGAGACGAAACCTTGGATGATTCCTTGCTGAATTATTCACCGTGCATTCTTGGCACCCTTTATTAATCATTTAACACATCCTTAAAATTTTGTCTGCTACTCCTTAATCTGTCACTGCTGCTTTTTTAAAGAGTTGTATCCATGCTTTGATTTGCATTGAAAGCTCAAAATTAACACCACAGCTGCAGTGACTGGAATTAGTGGTGTGTGTTTGGACTTTGTTTCGTCTTCAGTAAACACACATTACAGTGTGGGGAATTTGGGAGCTCGGAAAGCCTCCAATCATTGCAGGAAGCCCATTTAGCCCTTACACTGTACATGAGACAGCAGAGACTGGAAAGACACTGAGTCATTGCATGGAAAAAACCTCTGAATGCACATGATCTCATTGGATAAAAAGAGTGTGGCCTGATTCATTAGGAATATTATTAACAAGCTTGCAGGCCATGCTATTGATCTGGAGCTGAAACAGGAAGGAGTAATGGACTCAACTTTCCTGTTTCCTCACTTAATGGACTGCTAAGTGCGCTTATCATCACTGTGAAGACGTTCTCGCTGTTCAGTAACTCACACAACAACATTTTAGTTGGTGTTTCATTGACACAATAAATTCTTTAAATAAAACATTTTGCCTCCATCTCTGTGTTTGACTGTAATGTTAATGCTGTTTTCTTGCTTCAGGTTTTATGATTTCCCACGACTGTCTTCTCTTCCAGGGTCCCTCAGTGATAAAAATGTCTATGATTGGAGCTCAGAGGAGGAAGAGCCAGACGGACGAGCTCGGCCCATCCAAGTGCTGCTGGTCAAAGATGACCACACCTTTGAGCTGGATGAGGCGGCGCTGAGCCGCATCCTGCTGTCTGAGGAGGTCAGAGATCGTGAGGTGGTGGCCATCTCCGTGGCCGGGGCTTTCCGGAAGGGCAAGTCTTTCCTCATGGACTTTATGCTGCGTTACATGTACAACCATGTAAGTCTCTGCAAAAGCATTACTCCAGTCTGCGTGGTATAGATCATACAGTCTGTGTGCGTGAATCGGCTCAGTCGTGCTGGTGGAAAAGTTCCCGATTTAGCTTGTGAGTTGATGTAGCACATAAAAAATTGAAATATAGCAAAGGAACTGGCAAAAAAGAAGAATATTTATGATATTATATTACTACATGCATGCACCAACCTGCTTATGTACAGTAATCTTGGAATAAAATGGCTATGCATTTCTTTATCTTCCTTTATCCTATTTATACCTTCTTTTTTTTCAAGCAGCAGATCAAATTAAAAAAAAAAAAAAGAGCAATATTTCAAAGCCACTGAGGGTAAAATGACCTGTTAGCCTAACATGTGATCTGTTGGTGCTCAGGCGTCTGAAAACTGGCTCGGCAATCCAGAAGAACCTCTGACCGGCTTCTCCTGGAGGGGCGGCTCAGAGAGGGAGACCACCGGGATCCAGATCTGGAGCGAGGTCTTTCTGGTGGACAAACCAGACGGAAGAAAGGTGAGACTGTATTTCATCCCACGACTTGACGAGTAGGCTAAAGTGCAATTGAGCGCTTAATTAAATATCACACATATACTTGTTTAACCTCTTTACAGTGACACCTTTATATTCTCAATGAGCCTGGCAACAGGTCGTCTTAAAGCTTCTCACCTTCACAGTCGTAGCTGCAGCTTTGGTTGGATAACTTGAAAGGAGTCTTTTGTGGTTTAGGACATTTTTTATACCTGCATCAGCCAAATGTTTCTAACATTTTGCATCAAAGGTTGGTCGTTCTTTTTAGTTTCATTCAAAACGAGCTGCTGAACATGAATGGTTGCTTTAGGCACTTTCTGTTCTCTGGAGTGTAAACACTCCACACGCTGTATTAAAACTCACTTTCCTCAGCACAGCACATCCACGGCGAACATATTGACTCCTGCAGCAAAGGTGAATGCGTTCATCTGTCTCCTCACACAGGTTGCTGTGCTGCTAATGGACACGCAAGGCACATTTGACAGCCAGTCGACGCTGAGGGATTCAGCCACTGTGTTCGCCTTGAGCACCATGATAAGCTCCATGCAGGTGCAGTGACCTTCAGTCATCTGATCCAGCTTAGCTTTAGAAGAGACTAAGTATTTGTAAAAATGCATGCATGTACTTTGAAGTTTGTTTGGGATGGACTATCTTAGTGATGATTTTTTTTTTAAAAATAAAACTGTCATGAAATTCTTGAGAGACATTAATGACCCCAGAAGTTTTCCTATAGCGCCACCACAAGACTGACGTCTAGTTTTGGGTGATAAGTCTCCAAAACGAGTTCTTTTCTTTCTACTCAAGCACACCTGCCAACTGCATCATTGTTCAGAAGAAATGGCCCATCTGTCCCTACCCTGTTTCCTCTTTCGGCGGAGGTCTAATGTTAATTAGCTGCATGCATGTTTTGGAAATAAAATAGTTCCTCTGTTTGTAACAAGCTCAGATTTATAACAAAGGTTTCCATGCTAGCACACCAAACTAAGACACAGGTGTTACATATTATGCCTGCTAGTCCCGTTTGTTCCTTAATGCCTAATGGACTATTTGGTCAATAATTTAACCTGGACAGATTTACCACATTCTTCAAGTTGTACATGTTTAAAGAAAATAACCCTCTAACTCAATGGCCTCTCTCAGGTTTACAACATCTCACAGAATGTGCAAGAGGACGACCTTCAGCACTTGCAGGTAAAATTGCCTTTCAGTTATTACAGGAAAATACAGTACTGCACTAAAGTCCTCAGCTACCCCCCTCCTTTCGTTTCACCAGACCTTCTTATATATTTTAAAGTGGTCTTGATCAATAGTTCTCCAGGCTTTCTGACAGTCTTTTAAAGTTTCTTTTTCTTTTTGGACTTTGGCTGCTTTTTACTCATTTTCAGTCTAGTTGTTGTGTCTGACCGTTTTCACAGGAATGTTTTTT